TTTTTTCTAATTTTAGATGAGCTGTTCCCATGTGTTCAGATACTGCTTTATTTGATTAATACTATTCTCTGCTATTTCTGTAATGTGAATGATTTTATACAGCTTGTTTTGTCTGATAGTTGATGAAACACTGGCCTAGTTTCAAAATTATGGACAATTTGTTCCTCTGCATTCATCCTTTAATAGAAATATTTAGTGTAATTGGTTCATTACATCTCTGAGTACTGTACTGTTTTTTTTTTTTTTAATAAATAGGCCTATTAGCTGTCTGGATGTGGCATGATATGAATGTTTCTATGTGTTCTTGATTAGAAATGAGTCCCTTCAAAGTTTCTGCTGATAAGAATTGACAGCTTGGAAAACCGATTGTTTAAACCTCACTGTAAAGTATTTAGAAAACTTTAAATCACAACAAGGTTGAATATTGTTATGTTTGAAATTTGATGTATGCTAAAAATTATTTGAAAGAACATTCATTAAAGGAACATTTGAAAGTTAATAAAACCAATAATACATTTGAAACACTTTTATTAACACTTGAAAGTTATACTACTACTAAAGTACCAATAATGGTGTCAGATTATCTTAGTAAATATAATTGCTTAAAGGCAAAATGGTATGTGTTAGTGCTTTTCCTTTTCCCATAAAGTGCTTACACTTTTACCCTGATCCATGAGCACAAACTTTTGCTTGTTGGATTCCCTACCCTTATTCTATGTAGCAAAGTTAGTTTCATTTTAATATGGCGAACATTTCAGCTTTGACTAATTGTCAAGCAGTTCTCCCTCATGTATGTCAACTGAAACCCAGTCAACATTTTATGAAGTGAAAGGCCTGCAGAGGCCCACCTTAAGAAGGTGCAGCTAAGGTCACACCAGGGCCAATTTAACTGGTGTGTACTTCGCTGTTACGTGCCAAACAATTTCCTCAGATACTGTGACGTCTGCTCAGTCCTTGCTTTGCTGCAAGTTGTAGGCGGAAAATTCCTCCAGAATACTTCTCGTTCGCAAGGGGCACGAAACGAATGTCACATTTGCCAAGTGGAATGGCATTTGTGCTTTTTAGAAAGAGGAATGTCTCGTTGAAATGCGTTCCCAGAGCCTCAGTTCATCTAATCTGAGGCAAAGCTGAATGCATGCACCGCTGTTACCCCTTCAGGTTTTCGCTGTCTGACAACTTGAAAAATGTCATTCTGTACTTGCATCGTGTTGCCTAGGAATATTTTAGGATTGTGTTTTAAATTGTATTCCATGTTTTTCCTCTGTGCTGTTTCCCTCAAGGGATTATCTGTAAATTGATATGCTGAAGGAGGAGTGGCAGATACTTTTCAGTATCTCGTATCTTGTGGGTATTACATTCCTCTGGAATTTTGCTGTTGAATTCTAATTTGGGGGGCTTTTTTAAAAACTACAATATAAGCCACTTACCTGCCTGCTTGTCCGGAAAAATAAGCTGTGAAAAGAAATCTAATACTGGTTTCTCCGTGTTATTATATTTCATTTATATATTGTTATAATACATGATCAAGTTAGTGTAGTCTGCTCCATCACAATGTGTCTGTCTTTGCATCACTTCCATAGCCTTTTAGTTTTAGCAGATTATTTCATCAGGGTATCATGGCTCATGATGAGCTAATTCAGCTCAATCGCCCAATACACTCCTACTGAAGCTGTTGGGTTGGCTGTTTGGCTGAAGATCACTGTGCTTGAGCACTCCTACACTACTTTGCCAAACAAGCTGCAGCTGACGTTAGATCATGCGCCCATAGTCTGGAATCTTTAGGCTGTAATGTCGTGCAGTAAAAAAAAAAAAAGTGGTCAGTCATGCTCTGAGTCATGCTGAATCACCCAGCTCGCCCTACATCAGCGGTGATGCGAAATGCTGATGTTTCACCGAACTTGGAATTATGAGTAACACTTTTTCTTGAAACATAACAGTGTAGCAATAGCTATTTACCATGACAACACACCCAGGATTCGTTTAATAAAAGCGTTTTTTTTTAGATAGAGGTGTGTTATGGTGCAGTTTTGCAATCTATCAAAATAACGGTCTGCTATGCTCAGAAGTTTTCAACGTATTTCTGCTTCACAGATATGTTTGCATTTGTGGATTTAACCAAACAGGACCAGTATATGTTTTGCAGTGTGTGCAGTAGCTGGAGCATGTCATTCATTCTCCTTCAGGTAAAAAAAACAAAACAGCAGTGCACAGGCCTTGCCATCTTATGTGTTTGATGAGTATTGGAGTATCTTTTGTCAATTATGGATTTTGCTAAATGCTTCTGTTTATCCGAGCATGTGTTTTCCCCCCACTAAGTTTTGTTGTATAGACTTTAGGTGTGATGTGTTTCTTTTTACAGATGTTTTGGTTTTATTTTTAGTCAAGACCTTTAGAGGTTGTGACCCCCACCAACCCACAGAGCAGTTCACAGTAGATGACAGGAAGTGAGGATATGACATTTAACTGTGTTTAACAAACTGTAATATATATTCAGAGCAAGATGAGGAAGTATTCATTTTTGAAAAGGCATGGTTTTCACTGTAGGGGAGCAAAGTGGTGCAGTGTTTGGAGACCCAGAGTCCTTGGTTCAGTTCCTGGGGTGCTGTCTGCCTGGAGTTTGTATGTTTACCCTGTGTTCACGTGGGTTTCCTCTGGGTGCTCTGGTTTCCTTCCACATTCCAGAGACTTAATGGTGGGTTAATTGGCTTCTGAGAAAATTTGCCCTGGTAGGAGTGTGTCTATTTTTGGATCTGACCTGTGATGGACTGGCATCCCATCCAGCGTGTACCCTGCCTTGGGCCTGTTGCTTTCAGGGAGAAGCTCAGGCTCCCCCACAACCCTGGACTGGATGAAGAGGTTAGAAAGTGAATAGATGGATACTTTTTATTGGCATTTCGTGCATCCACACCTGATTAAATGTCTGACTCTCAGTGCTACATGTGGTGTGGGACAGAGTCACACAGAGTTCAGGAGGAAGTTTATGAATCCACTCAAGTCCCTCCCGTAGCCTGAGCTGTGGGCTGGGGAAATGAACTCCTAATTGACAGCCCTCCCTCCAGACAGTGCTGTTGAAGTCGATGTCTGTGCATTTGATCCTTCATTTAATAACAGGCGCAGACTGCTGTTCCCTCCAGAGTCCGGCCTGTAATTGACGCCAGCAGCCCGCTCATCGTGGAAGTGGTCTTCTTTGTTAATTAATGAGCGGGACTGGCTACAGCTGATTAGGAAGCTGCAAAACGGCTAACAATCGTAAGTTCCAGAGATAGAGCCACTTGATGAGAGAATGCCAACACTGCAGTTAAGGAGATTAATCAACATGATTAATGTTACTATCTCTTAAAAAGGGTTTGGAGCACCAGATTCTATTTTTTTGAAGGGGGAGGAGTGCGCTTTTAGCATTTTTCCGATTGCTCAATTAGGATGATCATTTAAACATGTTTTACAAAAAAGATTGATGAAGACAAGAATTCGGTCCACTGATGGTTATAATGAGATCTTAAAGCCTTTGTTCATTCATCTTTTCTTTTTGCTTGCGTGCTTGTTTGCACTATTCTTGCAATGTAGAACCCGTGTGCATATGTATGCCTGTTTCTTTCAAATTCTAATATTAAAATAAGTGGTGTGAAAGTAAATTATTTAATGTATATAAGAGGATAAGTGAGGTGAAACCCTTGGTCAGTGGGCCGTGCTTGGGCACCCAAGCACACATCCCATGGGGAAATTGTTAAGGTTTCAGACATCCTGACTGACAGCTTTAATCCATACAAATAACAAGGTGACAGGCTATTTGAGTGAAGTCTTGACCGTGTAAGTGTTTTGTCAGTGTAAATGAAATACCTTTAGGGTTTTAGGAAGAGACTATAATTTTCCCACCTGTGTGTGAAAGCAGTCCTCTCAATCCCTTCACTGATCAGAAACACCGTGAAAGATTAGGCAGTTTCATCCATTCAACATACAGCTTATTACCAGCCACGTGAGAAGAAACTATTTCATTTTTATCCCTCTTGATTTTTAAGTTTTTTAAATTAAAAAAAAATATATATATATAATTGGTGACTTTAGAAAATATAATTGTGGAATTTTCACATCTCATCTCATCCCTCTGACCGCACCCAGGAGAGTCTGGAACAGTAGACTGATTCCTCTGACCTGCCCCTCTTTCAAGCCACTTGCCTTTAGAGCACTTAATACCAGCCTGGTACCAGCCATAAATGGAGGAGAGATACCTCTTTCGCATAGTACCTGGGAGGCAGAAGGAGAAGTCTGTCTCTAAGAGCCACGAGAGCCCTGGAAGACCTCCCCAGCCTTGGCAGCACTAAGCCTATTCTGCACCGCTTGGGCGATCCTGATCACAGTCAGCTTGTGACATGACCCAGGCTCGAACCCGTGATCAAAGAGCTCTGATCAAAGATACTCAGGCGAGCATATTTACTGGTTGAGCCACTCAGGAAGCCTCTTTAAAAATGTATAAACTAAATTTTATATCCCCTCTAGACAAACCTTGTCTTTCTTTAGCTTATTTAGGCAGAACAAATGCATGCAGGATTCTGTAGACGGCAGAAAAAAAATCATTTTCCTTTAGCTTCAGTAAGAGAGCATTAATCTTATCAAGATTTTCTTGTAACTGCCTTCTGCCAAAGACTTGAGATGGATTGTGAAAGCAGAGGGCTAAATATGTCTTTGTCTGGTACAGTTTTGCCTACTGCCACTGTATATCAATGTGTTTACACAGTTACATTTGTTAAAAGGGCAAAAATCTGAACAATCAGTTTACTGTTGGTAGTTCCTTATCAGTTCAAGATGTTTCCAGTAAGTGCAGTTTTTTTTTGTTAGCATGCATGGCCTGTGAGAAGTGAAGCAGATGGTCGTTTTCATTTGCATTGATGTTAAAGAGAAATCCCAACTGCCCTGTAAAAAAAAAAGTACATTTCAGTCAACCTGTGGTTAGGCTCACTGATGACATTTTTGTAATTATCTTTTGTTTCTTGCTTGTCCGGCAGGTTGTCTGCACGCCACAAATAAACCATGAGTGGGGTACTGAAGAGAAAGTTCGATGAGGTTGATGAGGACCCTTGCTACTCCTCTTCATCGCCTTCCTCCCTCTGCTCTTCAGCCTCTTCAGGGTGGGATTCAGATGGGGAGAGTTACTACTCAGACACCCTGGATTCAAGGCCTAGCAATCCTAGCTCTCCAGAAACGTCTTATCCTGGTAAGCCTTTTTCACACTTCCTTTAGTCCTTCAGAACCTGCAAAGCTTTGCCTACGGAATAAAGCAAAGTGAGTTCAGTTTGCCCCGTTCCTTATATAATTTTGACATATGCCTATCCATTTCTCTATTCCAGTGCCTAACTGGTAAGTGTAAGCAGCACCTAACTATTGCTTTAAAGCTTCTTCTGTAAAAAAAAGCCTACCAGTTATTATTTTATGCCCACTGGATTTGTAGACGTTCCAGCCCTGTGTTGGTCACTTTGTGGGTCACAGCTATGATCTCACAGGATAGAGAATGAGGAAGGGTAGACAGACTCCTCCAAGAATCATCTGACTCTGCTCCTCTTTTAACCATTCACAGGAAACACTTCTCCATGCTGGAGCTTCAGCACGATTAAAACTGAACAGTGTTACCAAATAAGAGCTACAGTGAAGCAAATGGAACGTTTAAGCACTAAGCAAAAGCTGTTTACAGTTAAAGAATATGCTGTTCCATATATTAACACAATCCAAGTTTTATCCTAGAAAGGCAAAAACAAGCAAGATTATCTGGCATCTTTTAAAACTAAATGTATAATTACAAAAAGGCTCTTGCGCTGGTCCATCCTGTTCTAAGCACCAGAAAGGACCGGCAGTACAGGGACAAACAGTTGTAAGAAAGGCTCTAAAGATCTGAGGGCAGGCCTTCTAGTGACGTGAACTCCACGCTCTGGCAAAGAGAACAGAGTGTACTTCTGTGTGGCTACTTGGCGCACACCCAGTACAGGTGCTGCTGAGGAGGGAGTGTGTAAGCCTCCACTTGGCACAGCAAGCTGTGCTCATTTATTTTAGGAATAACTCTCTTTGGAGCTCTGATCAAAGAAGAGGAATGCAGAGCCATATGCAGGGTACATTGCATTCTTGTTGACATTTGACTGCATCAGAATGATTAGAGAAACCTCGTAGGTTTTAGTGTAAAAGGCTTTATTTTTAAAGAGAGAGAGGGAATAAAGCATTTCTGAGAGGTGTCCAACAGTTCTAAGATTGCCATGCTTGTTTAGCAGGCATGTCCGTAAATAAGGTGACTTTTAGGTTGGTAGCTTTCAACTGTGAGGAGCCATCTTTGAGGTTTTCAGTGATAACTGTTGAGGCAAACCTGAGACAGGAAAAGCAAGGCCCCTTGTTTATGCTCTGAACAAACAATCTTGTGGTTGATGTTTCCTCATTTCTTTCTCCTTGACCACTGGGCTTGCTGCTCCCATTGGCTTTTGTGCCCTCGTACTGTATTTTGAGGTTTTCTTTCTCAAATGCAAAAACTGTAAAGAGCTGTTTTCTGTGCTTTTGTGTTTTTTTTCTGTGAGTGAAATGGTACTTGGATTCTAAATTTATGTGAAAATGTTTGATGTATCTTGGATCATGATTTTGGATCGTATAGGTGGACAATAGGTCTCAGATGTGGCCAGCTCAGCAGAGATGGTGACCCAGCTATTGAAGTCATCTTGCTATCCTTATTGTATTTTGTGATCCTTGTGACTATTTTCTTTTTCACTTTTTTAAACCTACTTTTAAAGGCATTATATAAAATAAAGTTGATCATTATTATTATCTTCCTGCGTCTGCATAGCCACAACATGGAATGAAGAAACTAAAGGGAAAACAGTAAAATAGTAAAGATAAGCATCAATGAGTAGACATTCTCAGGGTAGAAGTATATATTCCATGAAATCCCCAAGAGTTATATGGGGGGGGATTCCAATATTTTCCCTTCCTGAGGAAAATTGTGAAAGTTTTGATGTACTGTATATTGTTAGAATATTCAGAGAATGTTGCAGTTTGCTAAGCTCATTTTGCTCTTCCATATGGTTTTGAGATTAAAAAAAAAAGATTCTTGAGAGAAAAGGTCTTGTCTTGCCATTTAGAATTAGGTTTTCAGTTTAACTGGTGACAAATGCATGACATTTCTGGTATTTTATGTTTTAAACAAATAAGAATGCAAAGTCTTTTCAGAAAGCCTCTTAGCAGATAAAATTTTAAGATCGAGGTAAGCAATATGATACTAAAGATCTGTCAATCAACATGCAGTTGTGTTTTTTAATCAGGCACACATCACACCAGTCTGTGGAATTTCAACAAACATTTATACAGTATCTATATCCTTCTAGGATACATTAGTTTGGTTATTTTCTGTTTTTTTTTTTCCTTTTTCCTGTATGCTTTGTCCATTTTTGACAAGATGCCATACAATGTATAGATTACATTTTTTTGTAATCAAAGAACAAGAAATTGTCATACTTAATGATATAGGTGGAGGTGAAAGCCACACCTTTGAGTTGCTATTTTGGTTGTTACTACAACATGCATGCTTTTATAGCTTGTTTCAGATAATCTCTGCTTCTCAGGTATAGGATGAGGGGTGTTAAAATACCCAGGCATTTGTTTTACATTTGTTGCAATATTATGATATTTTATTGTTCTGTTTGATATATGTTTTACATGAACATATAGCATTTGTAAATAGTTTTGTATGCAAGTGAAAAAGTGGAAAACTTTGTTTTATTGCTGTTTATCATGCAGGAGGAGTATGTAAGCTGCATGTTTTATTGAGATGAAATGCGCTGTTTATATAAATAGGCATGCCAATTGGCAATTGCAAACACGAGACAGGTTTCTAAGTGGTGTAGTGACATGGATGCCAACCAGTGATTTGTATATGAGGGAAACTAAGGAAAACAGGGCGTGATTAGATACAATCCTTTCTAAGGTTTTAGGGGACTTAGCAATGAGTGGAAATTTGTACAATGCACTTCATGTTTCATTGAAAAGAACTGCTAGTTGAAGTTGGCAGTGCGTGCTGTACTCCCTCTAGCGGTGATCTTGTGGAAGTGCCAAAGCAGCAGCTGTTTGGCTCCAAGGTTGGCTGTATTTACAGTCTCCTATCTGGAAATGTGAGTGTTGCTGAGCAGCTTTAGACTCCTTCCACTGAAACATTCCTATTGCTTTTGGAACATTGCCCAGTCAAACATTCCGCAGTTCAATAGTCATAATATAGCTCATTGGGAGTTCTTTTTAAAGAAGACTGCATCTGGTAATTGTTTTCCATTGAATGTATGATTTTGTTCACACACTAGAACACTTAACGATCCGTTTTTTTTCCCCTTAGGTAATTAATATCTCCTGTATGGAATGTCAGCATAGATTGATCTGATTGTAAATCCCCCAATTTGCAAACCTCAAGTATGTCTCATTCTCCGCAATAGGAGAATTTCAGCTGGTCCTTTAAAAATGTCGCCAAGAAAATAACCCGTGGTCATTGGCCCCGATTTGTGGTCTACTTTGTCTGTCCCCCTCCCTTCCTTTTGATGATTGCGTCGACTGATCTGTCGAACCCCCTCTTCTCTTTTGCAGTCACGTCCATACTGAAGAGAGCAAAGCGGGCACGGAAAAGCACCGTGCAGTTTGACCAGGTGACGGTGTTCTTCTTCCCGCGATGCCAGGGCTTCACCAGCGTGCCCAGCCGCGGGGGCTGCACCCTGGGCATGGTGAAGCAGCACAGCATGTGCCGGCGGTACACCCTGGCAGAGTTCGCTCTGGAGCAGCAGCAGCTCCGCCGGGAGAAACTCAAGAACCGCCTGAAGGAGGAGAAACTGGAAGCCTTGAAGCAGAAGGTGAGGCCACCCCTGCCGCCGTCAAGAGGGCACCTGCGCGCACAAATAGCCGGGGAAATAAAAAAACCAAGTCGTGTTTTTGGGGCATTGTTGGCGCAGCGCCTCTTCAAAACGCACTTCTCTGCTTGGAGAACTCCCGACAGCTGCAGCTTTGAATGGCGCACAAGTAGTCGGTGCTTGAATGTGCACTGCAAATTCTCTAAGGCAAACCGCCTGAATAGAGCAATAACAAGCTGTTCTTTCTCCAAATTGTGCTTTCATAACAGGAAAAAAACCCGCAGTTTTGTAATATGGATTTCAAGTAAACATCAATGAGAAAAACTGAGCATGCAGATTAGACAAATCCAAAAGAGCTCGAAATTATTTAGCAAGAAGAAATGACTCATTTGTACCCCTTTACAAAGTTTCTGAGGCTTTTTGCCCAATCTTTCCTACTAACGGAAAAGTTCCTTTGATAATCTTTCAACAGCTGACCAAGAATGGTACAAGGGAGTCCGAGGAGGCCAATCAACTCACCATAGATGACATACCTGAAGACGACATTGACATCAGCGGAGTGGATCTGGAGGACGGCTTCTTTCTCCACCCCTACCCGTCCAAGAGGCGGCACGTGATACTCAAGGCTGCCGGCGTGAAGAAGATCGACAAAGAGGAGAAGCGTGAGCTGCACTCCATCCGGCTCTCCCGAGAAGACTGTGGCTGTGACTGCCAGGGCTTTTGTGAGCCTGAGACCTGCAGCTGCAGCCTGGCTGGCATCAAGTGTCAGGTACGTGAGGGGCGTTCGAGGGCAGGGTATAGGTTTCTCCCAAACGTTTCCCCCAAAAAGTTCAAGCTATTTTAAAGCACTCCAGAAGAATCATTGGAAAAGCAGACGAGTGTCAGTATTTCCACATTCTTCCTCCCTTGCCGAGATTCTAACCCAGCCCCAGAATTTGGTGGCCCTGCTCCCATTCCTGCTTCGGCTCCAGGGGTGGAGCGGTGGCTCTGTGGCTAAAGATCTGAGCCTACTCCGTTGGGCTCCTGAGCAAGACCCTTAACCCCAGCTGCTCCAGGGGCGCTGTACAATGGCTGACCCTGTGCTCTGACCCAAAGCTTCTCCCTGTCTGTTTGTCTCATGGAGAGCAAGCTGGGGTATGCGAAAAAGACGCATTCCTAATACAAGAAATTACATATGACTAATAAAGTGATCTTATTAATCTCAACCGAAAGCTTGTTGTTTCTTTGTGAAGTCCCTTATGCAGAATTTGAAAGCTCTCACTCTTAAATTGTCTTTGGGGGGGGAACAACATAAGACATCATAGTTTCACATATTTTGTTTTTGTACCTTTTCTCATTTCTTTGAACGTTTCATTCCTCCTCTAGATGGACCACTCTTCCTTCCCCTGCGGCTGCACCAAAGATGGATGTGGCAACACGGAAGGCCGGATTGAGTTCAACTCCAGCAGGGTCCAGACTCATTACATCCACACCATCATGAAGCTGGAGTTAGAGAAGAGGCTAGAGGAGAACTCTGACGCCGAGGACCACACAGAAGGCTTCCCGCCTCGCCAGCAGCAGCCGCAAGCGGAAGACAATTTCATCTTCCCCTCCTCACAGGAGGACCGGACCGTTCCTGCCAGCCCCACCTTCCACTTCAGCACAGAGCTGGATCCCATTGGAGAGAACAGCTGCAGCAGCGACATGACCGACTCCTCCAGCTCCTCCGGCCAAAGTGAGGATTCTGAAGGACCTTGTGGAGGAAGCAGTCTGCAGTGTGACAAACCCCAGTCAGATGTGGATGACAATGGTCTGGCAAGAATCCTCAGCTTCAATGACTCTGATAATGAAGACTGTTGTAGCACCCATGACACTAACTGCAACCAACAGCAAGAAGGTGGCTTTGGGTGTGCCAGCACATCTGATCTGTTTAATGATAACGTTGTGGAAGGGTCTCTGTCTAAAGTGAGCAGTGAAGGCAGAAGTTGCAGCCACACTGACAACCACATCTCCAACATCTCAGAGTGTTTAGATGACAATGCTAACCAAGACACTACATTGTTTCAGAGCAGCAACTCAGTTCAACCTTTTCCTAGCAACTCTACACCTTCGATTGATCACACTTCAACGAGTTACATGGACCTCAGCCTGTCTTCAGACTCTGATTTAGAGTTCTTTGATGGCTTCCCAGACTATAGCCCGAGCCCTCTTTACAACTCTTTGAAAGATTACGAGAATCTGGACAATTTCTATCAGTTTCAGTTGCCCAGCTATCCCAGCTTCCCCCAAGCCAGTGACTCTGGCACCTGTTTTCTGGAGTCGCTGATTGGCCTGTCTGAATCCGTCCCAGAGCCCCCTCCTACATTCACAGACAATCAGCTTTTGGAAGAAGCCATTAAATCCTCTATGATGGAATCTGTGAAGGTTTGAAAAACAATCTTTGTAAAACGGACAATATAAACATAGAATGAGGACTGTACATATATATATATTTTTTACAGTATCACTTTTAAGGCAAAACCATTTTGATTTTAAAGGAAGCTGTGATATTTTTTTCTTTATTGAGACTTATTGGCCTTTAAATGTTAATAATTAAAAATTCAGTCATTACAGTACAAGTCGGCAGCTAACATTCTTAAAAAGATCTTCGAAGTCAGTCTGACTCAAAACAGTCTGGTGGTCTTTTCTCTAACCCTTGGCTTCTGTCATCCTATCGTGAAGCTGGGAAAAATGTTTTTCCTCCTTGAATTGCACCATGTAGAGCTGCCACTTTGTTTCAGAACCTTTTGGGTCGTCATCAATTATTATACAAGTGTGCCTCAGGGACTTTAAGAACTCTTCAGAGAAATGTATTGTGACCATAGCTGTGATTAAATCTGAGTGTTTTTAAAGTGTAACCACATAATAAGGCAATGTTTCCATTGATTCAAACAAATCTGTGACCCTTCGACCCATCCCTGAATTTAAGCCATAACTGGAAGATGCTTGAATTCAGATGCACACCAGTATTCCACACATGGAGCCCACTGTCTTGTATGGGACACACATTTCTTTTGTAGTGTGTTGTGTTGGAAGTGATCCCCAGGCAGCACTGTGAAATATTTAGAACTGAGTGAACCGCTGCAGAAAGAAGTATTTCATTTTTTTCCTCCCTTTAGAGTTGTGTTGCTTGTTTGGCAATACTGCTTGTGTTGGGGCAACATTACAAACCGTTTACATACTACACTATTCTGAACATTTTATTTATTGTGAGCTACGATGTTACTTTTTTCCGGAAACTCAAGGTGAAATAAAAAAAAAACTAATATAACTCTGTAATACCTGAAAAGTATTACATGTATAATTTCTAATTTATTTTCTTCATCCATATTTATTTTTCGAACATCGTACTAATAAAGTTTCAAGAAGCACTGTGGTTTTGATTGGAAGTGCAATTCTCCCTTTACTAGCGCTTTGCTGAGACTGAACTCTGTTTCCTCCACAAGTGTTTACCCATTAAACTAACAGGAGTTAAGCTTCTTGGGAGTGAATAATGTGCCGAAATGTGTGGCATATAGGAAATGCTAGGGTTATCGGATAGTTTTGAACCGAATCGGAAAATATTTAAGAACCTATTATATTTTCTCTTTAAATAAGTCATTTCAACTTAAATTATTTTCATTGTTATTTCCTTATTTTTATTTATTTAATTAAGTGAGAAAGTTGGTCATTTGGTTCAGAGTGACCTAATGATGTGCCTGTTATGCAGAGGAACCATTTTTAATGGTCCATTCAAAACAGAGGGCCTTATTTACAAGCTGTTGGTCTGTGAACTGTGTGCTAATTTCAACTACCTTCTAATTGCAAAAAAATCGGGTCTGATGCATTTTTGCATAATATATGTATATCATAGATTCCAATTTTTGTAACTAAATTATGTATATTATGAAAATTCTAATCTGTACTGCGAAAAGAAATTATTTTAGAAGGAAAAGGAACCTTATATACTTTTGCAAATTTTGTAATATAATGAAGCCTACCTACGGGCCTGTATATGATGATGAAGGTTGTTGCTATCAAGCATTAATCCATGTTTGAAGTTCTTATGTTGATAGAAGGGATTCATAATCTTTATGAATAATGGCTCTAAATAATTCATTTTCATTTATAGGTATCAGTTAGAATTTCTAAATCATTTACCTTCAATAAAAAAAAAACTTTCACTAGTTTGTTTCTTAATGATGTTCACCTTACCTGTTTCTTTCAGTTCTGAAAAAACACGTTTTCCAAATACTCTGTCATAATAGGCAGTATGTGCATTAAAATATTCCCTGCATTGAGAGCATTTGAAGTCACTACAGTTGATACTACATATCCTGTCGACAGTGAAACTGGTTTGAAATGCTGTTTATATATTCTAGGCATTATGTGTATGCAGGCCCTTAAACATGATATTTATTTACACATTCCTAGGTTTCTCTGCATATAGCTTCTACACAAAAAGTGCAAAATGAACCATTGGAAGTATGTTTGCTTTGCCTTCATATGCTTTCTTAATAATTTATTTGATTTTTGTGCCAACATGAAGGCACTATATTTGTAAATTTCTTTTTAGTGTATAAAAAAAATTGCTTGTTATGAAGAAATACAATTCTGGGTATTTATTAATGTAATCTATTGTATGTATTGATCTGAGGCTTTGCTTTAAAATGTTCTTTTGCCTATTATGTTGTATATATTTTGATTTTTTTTTGCTTAAAAGGTACTGCAGAGCAAAGAATGCTGCTTTATTTTTTACATTTTCATGGCAAGAAATGTTCCGTTTAAAAAAATGTTCATTTCATCCAAGCAATATGACAATGTTTCTATCACTTTAAATAAATGTTAAAAGTTTGCTTAATGCCTGTGATTGTTTTGTTCAGTTAAGTGACAGTTTTTTGAAGAAGTCTCGGTCTTAGAAACAAGTAGAGTTTAATTCCATGCTGAAAAATTAATTAATAGTTTCTACTTCTCAGCATGGAACTAACTTCTGCTTTTTTCTTTGCAGTTCCTGATTTGAGTCTTCATTTTATGGTTGGATTACACCTAATTTTAACTGTGGACAAAGTTAAAAACTCCCAAAGGAGTTATTTTGGCAGTGAGCTTGTTAGTAAGTTTGTCACAGGATGATAGAAGTTTGTGCATTGCTGGTAAAACACTTTTAAAAAGAAGTGTGCCACATATTAGATGTTGGAAAAAGTGATAAATTCCTGGGAAGTTGGGACAAATAACTCATTTATGGTAAAGTTTAGGTTTTTGTAATGCTGTGAGAACATCATATTTGATTAAAAATTAGACAAAATTGGGTTTAAAAATATCTAGTTTAAATGTGGATTAACTAAAGAATATCTGGTATGATTTTAACTTCTGTTGAAAGATATTATAAATTTCTGTATCACTGGATTATTTGTAACTAATAACTCTCTTTATATTGAATGAAAAAATCTTAATCTTAGGGGGCAGGTGACAGAGGTCTCCTGACCCCAGAATGAAGCAGTGGACATCTCCCCCCTTGAGTTCAGATCAGGTGACCTCAGCTGCATTCTGGGGTTAGATTACTTTTGTAGAAACCCTGGTTCAGTTAACCTCTGCCACTTTCCAGGGACAAGGAATGTCATGTACTGGGGTCAGTGGATCACTCTTGTGTCCTGGGGCTGAAATGACCTGTGCTGCATCCTGGAGTCAGGTGACATGTGTTGGGCACTGGGGTCTCTTAAGTTCTGTGACCGCTGCCCTGTCCCTGAGTCAAGTGAACTCTCCCACACCTGGGGTCTGTTGCATACTGGGGTCAGGTAAACTCCGTTGTGCACTTGGTCTCATGCGTTTTGGAGTTAGGCTACATCTGCCGTATTTTGGGGTAAACCGCCTGGTCCTGGGGTCAGGCTACCCCTGCCACTTCCCCAGGGTCAAGTGACTTCTGTCATGTCTGTCAGGTGAAGTCTACGTTGTCTGGTTCAGTTAACTAGATCCTGTGAACAGTTGACCACTGTTGCGTCACACCATCACGTGACCTCCCTGACTTCACAGGCTCAACTTACCTCTTCCAGCTCCCAGTGTCAGGTGTTTTCTGGCACTTTCCAGGGGTCAGGTGACCCCTGCTCTGTCCTGACTACTGCGAGTTATAATGTAAAACTGTTCCATTGGTTAATGCTATAGGACAGCCAGAAACTGCACCACCACTCAAACGGGAAAATCCTGTATCTTCTAATTCACTTAAGCTTAGTGTTTTCAACTCCTGATAAAAGTCTTTGAGTTCATCAGGTCAGTAAGCCTGAACTCTGATCTTTCAATTCATTCTTTTCAGAATATATAATAGCTGACTCTGGGATCATTTCACGAGTTAGCTGTGACTTACATTCCCTAAGTGTTGGCACACAACAGGCTCAGTCACCACATATAGGTTAGGATTTGTCAGCTATCTTTTCCCTGAAAGCCAAGCGCCACTAGAACATCCTGGGTGCTTACAGGCTCAAGGTAACACTAGGGATGCATCTTTTTCACAATCTATGTTAAACCTTTGGCTATGTCACTGCAGATCCTGTAAGCATGTCAAAAAGTGAATAGTTCAAAGCATAGGTAAGTTGGAGGAGCCTGTCTTCACCTCTTCATTCTCCATCTGGTACAGGTGTCGTGGCTGTGTGCTCAAATGGCAGAGCTGGTAATTCCAAATTGGATGGGTATAAATGGAATGGAAAGCACAAAACATTATTAAAATATATTAGGTGCCTGTTTATACAAATGACTGTCCATAAAAATTCAGCTGAAAGGTTTTGCTTACAATTAAGTACAGATTGCAATTTAGTCTTTTAGTCTTCATTATTCTTAAGCCCTGGTGGGGGACATAATGAAGCTGAAATAGATGTACACGGAAATGTTCACGTTTTGGGAGAGTTTTGTGAGAAAGAGTGGGAGAAACCTAATTTCCACCAGTTGTCAGCTCCCTTGGGTATACAAAATAGGCTTCAGATAGGTATTTCCCAGTATTTCTCACCATTCTACCATAGCAGCCACTGGCTTATTAAAGGGGTTCCCAAGTCTTAAACCCTGTGGCCAGGTAGTCCTACCCGAAATCAAGTGGGATAATGTTAATATTTCCCTGCATTGGTATAATGCTTTTCATCCCAGAAGATCCCAGGAACTTCACAAACAGGATGTCACCTGCTTCAACCACCAATGAAGTTATCCTTCCATGGGGATGATGCAGGGCAGCCATTATTTGCCAGCAGCCCCTTTTCATGACATGCTGGGGATAGTATATAGATTCTTTATCGAGGTGCAATAAATAAAAGAAAAGCAGCCTTCCTTTTTACCTTGCAAATTTGTATCTCAAATAGGGATGGTCAGTGGTATTAAGATAAATTCAGTACTATTTCTAGAGCAGCTGTCTGTTCCCATGGCAACTGAGGCTTTCCAAAGCATTTTTAAATGCTAATGAATTAAAGCAAAGCAGTTAATATGTCTCCTGGAAGAAGAGATCATAAAACTTGGACTGCAATTTTTGTTAACGCGGCACAGTTTCGAAACAATATATGATGTCTTTGAGTTTCACACAGTACTAACATCATACATTATGTAAAGATGTACTGCTCTACTGAACTGTAAGACTATTTGACTTGATTTTTCATCTTTTAAAATAAGATCCATTTTACTTGTTTGTATCCATGGGAATAACAACAGGGATGAGAAAAATACATTTTGTTTGAATTGTGTCATCTAACTCAATACTAAAGCCAAACTGTAAAAATCTAGGAGTTTCTCTGATTTTGTGTTCTGTGAAAAAAAATAATCTGTGATCAGGCATGGATTCAGATAATTACTTATTATCACCTCTATACAATATATTAAATTGGAGAGATGCATAAAACACATTTTTAAACAAAAAAAAACAATGTTAGGTGTATGTTGGATGCAAGTTGGAATCCTGTGACCTTGCCCAAGCTGAATTAACAAGAATGAACAATTTTATATTCAAACTTATTTAGTATCAGGTTTCAATTCAATTCTTTGGGTGTTTACCACAATACTACAAACATGATACAGAATATTGACAAGCAAGAAAATTAGTAGGGGTTGTGTCCCTGCCAATCTTTCAGCCAGTGCAGTCATTTCCTCAGCCAAACAAATTAAAGCCAAATTAGGAAGTACACTCTCCAATTATATTAGTTGGCTTATTTTGTCATCATTAGGATTTGACCAATCTACTGAATAGCAAGGGGCAGTACTCATCTACAGTCTGGACCATTTTTGCCAATTTCTTTGAAATCGTAGGGCGCCATCACTTGTAGAAGTTTGTGGCCAAAGCAAACATCTTTACATAATTAAAGGTTTCTATTATATTAAACTTATTATTCTTCCTCTCTTTCAGAATTCAGTTCTAAAATTGTTTTCAGTTTTGTTTCATAAACCATCCTGGCTGAGTGTAAAAACAGTGAGTCCAGTATACTCATTTATAAGAAGGTTTAATTTTCAGTACTTTCTTAGTATAGTACACTCTACTTGTTTAAATATATTTTTTGGTGTATTACCTTCATAATGGTAATAATAATAAAAATGACTGTACTCTGAGATTTTCTCATATTACTTTGTAATTTGTTCCCAGTACAAGTACATATGCTGGGAACAACTTTAAATGCTTAGATTTCCATAAACAGGAAATTTTGCCTCTCCATTCTCTATATTAAGCAAATCTCATCTGTTATAGTGTATAAATCTTAACAGGAAGACAATGTTATCTTATCAACGCAGCTCTTGCTAATAGATTACACTATTTTAAATCTGCACCATATGCACTGCTATTCTCTCTCTCAGTCATGTACACTAAAACAAGATCTATGTGGATTTGCAAACTAAATTGATAACCATTAGCTTCTCAAATTATTACAATCCTCATTGCAGTTTTTTAAGATGCACAATGAAAGAAAGTTGCATTTTTGACAATGAAATCCTTTGGATTTATTAAGAAGTGCCTACATCTGAGTTTATTTTATACCTGGCAAATGTTTTTATCAGTTATGATTTATACAGAAGTTTCCTTTGGTGTTAAGACATCTCCCTTTACAAAGATTTTAAATGTTACAGTAAATTAAGTGGGGAAGTTTTTGGTGTTATATTCACCTGCTTTTGAATTTGACTTTGTCAACAGAGGTAATATCTTTGTTCACAGTAATGGAATGTTTAGTCTGCAAATTGTTGACAAGAACTTGGTTCAATGAAACGTTTCTTAAAATCAGATTTTCCATATTTGTGAAGTTTTCACATGAAGGATTTCATATTCATTTCGCACTCAGGTTTGTCACTAAGCTTAAGTGAATTAGAAGATACAGGATTTTCCCGTTTGAGTGGTGGTGCAGTTTCTGGCTGTCCTATAGCATTAACCAATGGAACAGTTTTACATTATAACTCGCAGTACTCAGGACAGAGCAGGGGTCACCTGACCCCTGGAAAGTGCCAGAAAACACCTGACACTGGGAGCTGGAAGAGGTTAGTTGAGCCTGTGAAGTGCTTCATACTTGGCATTGTTAGTACTTTACCTTCATTGTGTTTCTCCAGTACTAGAGTCGTTTTTGTGCCTCTTATGCCACAGCTGAAGTGCTTCTGTCCCACCTTTTACCCTCCCATCTTCCTTCCCCCTTTCCTCTGCATTTCTGGTCAAGTATCCAACTCACAGCACCTATGGACCCAAAATATATCGGTTGTTTCATCTTACACCTCTCCCAGATCCTTGCTTTGGCCATCCCCACAGGAGCCCTCAGCTGCTGACCCCTACTCTAACCTGTAGGTGTGATGACACAGCATCAGTTTGCACCAGATCCAGGCCACCAGGTTCACAGCACAAGCTGTCCCCAGTGCTCATGCCTTGACAACTACAGCAACAAATTCTCTCTGCATTTACCACCGCCCTTGGCTGGTGTCCAACGGATGCGGTCCAGCCCTTGGCCCTTCCCTCTCCAAACGTTTCCAGCTGTATACATAGCTGATATTCCTTCTTCTTTTAGTGTTGCTACTAAAATACATTCTCATCCATCCCCCCTAGCAAACATAAGCAAGTGGTAGCTCTTTTCCTGGTTTCACGTCAGGCCACTTTCTCTGGGGACACCGCTGCCTCTGCCAATGCCCACCACAGAGTTCCAATATCAAGCTAGTCGGTCCTGCTGCCTCTGCTAGCTGCTAGTGCTGCCACCTGTTCACTAACCTGTGTTCTGTCACCCACTGTGTACAGTATGTGCTCCTCCTGTACTGCGTATCCAAATCAACTTGATCAAACAAGCTCAAGCCTGCATAATACACTTTTTCATTTGTTCTATGCTACAAGAGAAGTTCTGCTCAGTCCTGGTGAAACCACAGGCAGACCAATTTGTTCAAAATCTCCTTTGGTGTTTTGAATATGCTTTTGGAGTGAGGAGACAGCAGTGATCTTTGAGCAGCACTGTCATTTCCTCAGCCCACAGAGTTATAAACCTAAATACTAAGCATGCTATACCTTTATATTTGTTGTCTCATTCTGCCATTATTACAGTTTGACAGAACAAGTGAGAGGAGCTTTTCAGTATTACTTTTTGCTTAAAACATTGATTCTGTAAGATACTAACCTTTGAAAAACATTTCTTAATAAACTGTTCTTCTTTCAGTTTTTAATTTAAAAAAACAATATGAATTTGCATAAAGTATCTCCTCCTTTTGAAGATACCATGTAAAATCCAATACAAACCTGTGTTGCAAAGTAAACAACATACAACACAGACTAATGGCTGGAACAGAAAATGATGTATTATGGACTTAATAAGACAGTGTTTTATTACACTCTATTATTCTGGTAATTTATGGTAGCCCACTACAAACTATTCTACTTTCCAAACTAAATAACTGAAAAGGAATTTGAGTACACCGCCCCTGTGGTCTGACTGTGAGAAACACAAACTAGAGTGGTGGTGACAAAACAGATAAGCATGGTTTCCATGGCAATACAACATGAACTTGAACTTTCCACAAAGCTCATAAGATGTTGCTAGAGAAGAAGTGAGTCACGAAGTTATGAATATTCCATTTTCTAAAGAATGAGAGCTTTAACCTAATTTCTTTCCTATGTCCCTTGTACTCATTGTGTTCATGTGGTCTTGGGAGGTAGGTTATGGTAGTATATGTGCTTAGCATTAATGTTTTAGATGTTTATTCACTTTATAATATGTAAGAGTTGACAGTAAGATATGGGACAGTAAGACAGGTAGTCTCCATTGATTTCAGTGTTTTGAAATCTAAAGAAATGCCTGGTATCTTTTAATTTTACCTAATTAAGAATCTGTTTTCTAATGTATTTAGTCATCATTGTTTTTCTGAGAATAAGGAACAATCTTATTCCATCCATCTTTTTTCTAAAGCACTTTATCCAGTACAACATTGAGGGAGAATACGTTTGGAGCAACATGAGCAAAGCAAGATGCACCCTGGACAGGATGCCAGTCCATCACAGGGAACACACAGACATAATTCCTGGTTATTATTTAAACTTGGTGCTCAAGGAGCTCAGGACTTTAAATTGGAAGATGGATGCCCAGATGCCCACCTACCAGCGGGTCCAGGAGAGACCAGACGGTATAGGCTTCACCACGGCGTCCTGACCAGCTGAGTCCGGCCTCATAATGGCCTGTTTTTAATCTCCGGTTCCTGTCCCTGTCCCTGGTTTTAACCTTGCTCTTTGGATGGATCTCCCAGTACCCGGACCCTGGACTGCACCCTAGTTTCCCGCTTTGGACTTCCCCTTTTGGACTCGTTCGCCTGTGCTCCCCCCTTGCGCCCGGATCACAGTCGGATGCATCGTCCTATCACAAAGACAGTCTTGCATTTACACAGAATCTCACAGAATCCATTTTCTGTAGCATCTTGTTTCAGGATTTCTGATGCTTCTAACATTGTATCCTAGACCAATATTAAATACTTAATGTGGACATGTTCAGAGACGGGTGCTAAGTGTGGAAAGATATGGAAAAAATAGGTATAAACCAAATTAGACTTTGACTCATCTGCCTAACTGTAAACCTAGTATTTGATGACGGCTTTTGCAAGGGGCTGTTTCCAAAAAGTAACCCTACATTGAGTGTTTAATTTGCAGTTAGTCGGTGAATGAAAGTTTCAATTTAGACTGGGCTGTGGTATTTTTCATTTATTTTTTCCTGTAGTTTTCCAATAATGAACATCCTGAACAATGATCTAATTGTACCTGTCCATTTCAGTATATTATACATTTTGAGACTGCTAATGACATCAGTCTATTTATGTTTTTGCCCGTAATCTTCCCCATAATCTTTTCAACAGCTGTAATATTTTTCAAGGAAAACAACTGTGGAAAAAAATATTCTCATTGAGATTCATTCTTGAACTGATAATGAAAACTGTATCAGTCATATGATATAAATATGATTATTCGAATACCTAAAACCATTAATCCTGAAATAAACGTCCCTCAAACTAACTTGAGTTATGCATTATATGTGGAAAAGTCTCCCTCTAGTGGTATTATCAGAGATATATATATATATGAGGAATATTAAAATCAGAAAGATTCGAATGTTTTGTAAAATAAAGAGTTTCAACGTACAAATCAGATTGCAATACTTTCTTTTACGGAATAATATCTAATAAAAACGTGCTGTTTTAAACGAACTACTTGATGATAAAGATCGTAATTACACGACATTTGCACAAACTAAAGGTTTGAATTTTAGAACGCAAGGGTTAACTTTGTCTCTTTGAAAATTCAACAGTATGATTCTGTTTTTGCTAATGGAAAAATAAGTTTCGACAACGCATTTAGCAATACATATAACATATTTTCCTCACAAATATTCTGAATTCATTAGATTAACGATTACACAGGAGTTTAATGAAGAATGTTTATTGTTTTTTTTTATTCAACTTCAGTCACAAAACAGTTAGGCACCTCCATTCATTTCCATTGTCTGTAAATAGAAAAACAAAATCCTGGTAAGTGTAAAAGATTAGGCATGAATTACATATGTTATATTTGAGTCACTAGACCCCGTTTAGCAGTTTTCATGATAGACCGTAACATACTTAACGTAATGGGAACGCTAACAATGGCTACTGTACTTAGCTCAATGTGCTATTCCACAGTGCACACATTTGTTGTACCAAGATTTTTTTTACCTAGAGCACTGATGAGTTGAAATTTTCCTTTTATAATTATGTTTGTTTTGTATGACTTTCTACATTAGTGAATGGTCAAATATGGTACAATCTTTATTTTCATGGCTCGAATATATTTCTAATAACTATTGAGTGCTCACAAAAATTGATGCACCTTAACTCAGGGCATGTCTACCTTACAATAAAACGTAATTGACAAAAGGGCTATGACGCAATAAATGTAGCAAGAAAGCAAACACTGGAGCAAACACACAGAACAATTAAGAGTGAAAACCACAATAGGATATCGTGGTAAAAAATCTTGATACAATAAAAATAAATAACTAAAACATTGTATATTTCCAAAATCATTTTCTCAGATTATTGACAAAATTTAAATGAATAAGGTGCTACTGTTACTGAAATGCAATGAAAGCACCACACCAGACTCACATTTCGGATCCATTCGGTGTAATCGGAAACTCTGCTGAAGACTGTCGGTTTCTTGTAGAGATTACAGATATAAGGCCCAAAACTCACAATACCGTGAACCTGCCAGACTCCGTTCACCTCACAATTCAGTGGTCCCCCAGAGTCGCCCTGGGTGAGAAAAGTCGCAGTTCATCTTTCGTGGTTATAAAGTCAGATGTGCATTAAGTTCCTAACACAAGTAAGGAGCACCTTAAATAGTGTCCTTTATTCCTAATTTAATTTGACATCGTAAATGCACGCTTGGAAGAACAAGTTTTCAAGACATTTAGAAGCTAGGCTATTGTGAAAGCTTCCTGCGCTTCCTTACTTGGCATCCAGCCAGATTTCCATCTCCTCCTGCACAGATCATGTTATTCTGGGCGTAGTAATCCCAGTATTCCCGGGTAGCACACGTAGGGATGTCAACGACTGGGAGAAGAGCCTGGAGCAAAACGGGAGAAGGACTTCCTCTGTCTGTGGAACATACAGAAGCAAAGGGATGACAGATCTTGCTTGTGACAGAAAATGTACAGCTCACTCACTCAGTTTAGTTTTTTTAAGGATTGAGTGTTAAGGGCGCAATACCTTACAGTTTTAAAAACTACAAAAACTATACTTTTTTAATTATAAATTGTATGGAGCAGGGCTGTATCATTTAGCTGGTCTGAAGCTGGAGTGTCACTTGCAGTGTGACTGCTGAGGACTTTGACTATATGTTTGCACAAGACTCTTAAGTAGTTTTTTAGAAAGACCTCCAAAACTGTGATGCCCTCTTCACATAGTATTCTCGCAATTTCCTTTTTAATATGAAGTTATCGATGATATTCGCTTTCAGTATTTAGGGATGTTAAAGCAAAAATTTGTAACAATATTTAGGATTTTGACATGCACGTTTGAAATGACAGGTGGAGCAGTAATGCTGGTTTAATGGAGGCACCTTCAGTCAGTCCCCAGCCTGTGATGTAGCAGGGGTATCCACTGGGGAGGATTGCTTCAGCAGGAGGCAGAGTTGCAGTCTTTACATAGGCACTGACATAGGCAGGTACAGCCAAGTGAAGCAGGGCGATGTCATACCTAAATGAAAAACAAAACAAGGAAACAGGAGTACTGCCAGCTGTGCCCACTTTAGATTACATTGTAATGGCCCATTTTGTATGTGGTAAGGCAATATAACTCTGCTTGAGATGGAAATAAAATTTAGAATGGATGGCTATTGCAGGTTATCCAACCATCCATTTTCTAATCAATTTATCCATTTGAGGGTCACAGGGAACCTCTGATGATGATGATCATATGTGGAAAAATCAAACTTGCAAAAAATGCAGTGATAGAGACACAATAAAAAAAATTACCTTTGAGTATATTATTATAATGGCATTTTTTGTTTAGAATTGATGTTTTACAATCATATCATTCTAGAAGAATTATTTAAAATAATTTCTGTGATACATTTCATAAAATGCATAAAGTTAAAATTGACTTAGATTTCATATTCACAAATACAATACCTGAAATGTGATTACATTTCCAATGGTATGAAACCTGCATTATTCATTAACACCTACCCTCTAGCTAGAGAGCCATCCCATTTCTCATGTATGATGATTTGATCAACATCTCTGTAATACTCAGTCCCTTCCTCCACATAGAGATTGTGCTCTCCCAGAGCTACTCTGTAGATGGACCCGTCATCACTGGAAAACAGAGCCACATTAATACAGATAGAGGAGAATCATGTCACAAGCTTCTCAGTCGTACCGGATATGAAGGAATATTGTAAGAGGTCATTTTGTCTTTGACAGTGAACTAGTACCACGGTAGAGTACAGCAGTGTAGTTGGGCGAACTGTCCACTCCACTTCATCAATGCAATGCTTGTTTAAACTTACAAATCCACACAGTGTGCCGCTGTCATGACCCAGCGGAGAGTGATCAGGGTGCCTCCACATGTAACACCCCAGCCTCCTGCATTTGGGTAGGTGTACTGCAGGGAGATCTGGAAAAGAAAACAATAAAATGTCCGATTGTGGCACATCTTTCCAAAAAACGTTTGAGTGAGGAAATGAGAATCCTGTAAGAACAGCTTTAATGTTTGCATGGCATTTAGCCTTTCTATTCTGTATTATTTCCTTTTTTTTGAAGGAGGAAATTTCCCTTGTATGTTTATTTGGACTGCTTTGGCATGACCTTCGCGTAAATTACACCATGACATGTTTAGGTGCATAAAAATGATATGTGCTATGAATATGGTTGCCTAAAGATGGTATCCACAGATGCAAAAATCTCCTGCTATGAAGAAGGATAGGTAAGGATCGTCTTACCAGAAATCAACAGGCAATAAAATAGTAAGCAACTGTATGAAGGTATTGCAAATTACCTGCCAAGGCCAGCTGTTAGGTCTGGCTACATCACCTCCAACGACTCTCTCTGTTTTTGGCTTGTTGATGATAGTAAAGTCATTATGAGGTGGATCTGCACCTACAGAACCTGGAGGAGATTACAGAGTCATTATATTTAGAAAAGTCCCTATGAATTGCTCCATGTGAGCACTACAATCTTTACCTATAGAAAATGAAGTCTGCTCTTCAACCAGACTTCATTTTATATAGAAATGGACATGGACATACACAATCAATTGTGATGTTTTACAAATCTTTTTGATGTCATAAAGAGTTCTTTAGGTGACTTACCGAGAAGTAGCAGAGGCAGAAGGCACCACATTTTTTTATTTTTGAGTGTAACATTTCGCTTGTGGTTTCCATTATATAGTTAGTGATTTGTGGCGATGTGCCATGAGGCTGACTTCAGCGCGAACATAACCTTGACCGGAGTTCTTGTCATGAAAGAGCAGTCTTTAAATATCTCAAGATAAACGAAATGTGATATGTATATACAGCAAACTTCAGTGGTGTGTCACTAGTGTTTAAGTTTCTTGTGAAAAAGCATAAACTCATGATAGCGCAGAGCAGCACACTGTTGGAAATAATAATAATAATAATTGCTTACATTTATATAGCGCTTTTTCTGGACACTCCACTCAAAGCGCTTTTACAGGTAATGGGGACTCCCCTCCACCACCACATTTAAACCCCTGTTTTTTCTACTCTTCACAACATACTTACAGGAACACCCCATTCTTACTTACACTTACAAACTATCACAGAACCATTCCTTGTGCAGTTATTTGTCCTCACCTCTTTCACTGCAACACTTGAATTCCCACAAGATTAACAAATGAAACCTGTAAGGACCAGATTATTTATGTGTTTTCTTATGTTATGCACTCATTTCATTTTAATAAACCCCTCACAACTTCATTTCTTGGAAGTATGATCACCTTGACAACATGCAGGCACAACTAAAAGCAATATCAAGAAAAAAAATGTATTACACATGTCTTTAGTTTTTCTAGGAAAAGAAAATCAATACCATGTACCGTCGTCCCACTTCACTTCCACTGAATTCTGTTAAATTAAAAGTGGAAAAAACACAGTTCTGGGAACATTTCTATATCTCTATATCACTCCTTGCAGCTCAAAGTACTATCACTACCTGTGTTTCAATTAATCTTTTATTTGCTATAGTGCACTTCACAAGAGTTTGCCAAAGATTTCTTTACAGATCTGTATTGTATTTAACAATAAAACCACTAAACTTGTGAATATGAAGGAGAGGAAAACACCCAGAGGAGTTTCAGCACATCTTCAGCTGTGACTGCAGGTAATGATGTTTTTAGAGCAGTTCATACTTCCATTTTTTAGTAATTTGTTGATCTATGTGTGATGTAACACAAACTACAAGTCAAAACAATGTACTTGATGTAATATTACAGTACAAATACCATAATTTTGGGACAAAAACACTTTTTGTATTCTTTAGGATGGCAGCAGTTAAATATTAGTCTTTAATGTTAATGTAGCATATTTATTTTCTGGTTTTATGAGAGATGACAAAGAAAGGTACACTTTTCTCATAGGATTTTCCAATTTAAACCCCGGAGTAATTTTCTTTTCTTATTATATTTAATTTAAATTTCTTGTTCAAAGAAATGCAAAATACCTTCAGTTGACTCAGAGTGCGGGCAGTGTTAAGGGCTTCATGTACCAGTTGATAAGTAACATTCCCAAAAGAATTTCAGATTTTGTTTCATACCACTTTTTAATTGATATGTTTATCTTTTGGTTTTTAATTACCCTACCCTGAGCCATGCCTTTCATCTAACACTATATTGGCAAAGAACAGAAACATAAAAAGGCAAAAAAACACATGAATCTCAAATGAGTTTTTTTATAATTAATGACATTTAATGATTTTGTTTCATAACGAAGGACGGCTTCTCTTCTTTTCTAAGTGTATCTAATGATCTGCAAATGAGAAAAAATAGATAAAAATGATTGCCAAGATTTTACATGTAAATTGCAAGCTCTCTACATTATGCTAAAAAAATTGCACTTCTGTGTACAATGACACTGTGTAGTGAAGCTGTGGTTGAAGCACGGGTGAGTCATCAAGGGGTGGAGTCATTGTATTCAGGAAAGCCACATTCTTCAGATTCTCACAAGGAAATCACAGAATTGGCTGCACCTGGTGACTTCCACTCCTTATAAAAGCGGTTCTTGAGATAGTGAAAATTGCCTTTTTTACAAGCCCTCAAGATTATGAAGCAGTGAGCATAGTGGGATTAGGTTACGATAGCAGCCTCGGTCAATTTCCAGGTTGGAATGCTGGTAAGTAAGAAGAGGCTAAATGAGCACACCTGGCCTACTGGAATTGATTGAGAGAGGTAATTGCCACTGTGATCTGGGTTGAGACTGTTAGCGGTTATGGAAAGATAAGGTTACGGTTCATGTGGAAACCCCCTGGCCATGCTACCCAATAAAACTTCCACACATAGCAAGGAATTTGTATTAAAAAAAAAAAATGAGCACTGTGTTTCAGTGAATCAACGCTTACACTGGAGATCCATCCAAGGTATGAGGAAACGCGAGTGAAGACGGTGGGCTTCTTGTAGGCGTTGCACATCCCAGAGGGTCCATAACTAACGACGCCATGAACCTGCCAGTACCCGTTCATGTAGCAGTTCAGGGGCCCACCTGAATCACCCTGTACCAGGGGGGTGAAAATCAGACCAATGTCACCTTCTCATGAATCTGACCCACTAGAGACAAGTCTAATATTTTCAAGGGGGATGTAGGTTTTAGAGTACATGATGGTAACTGGTTTTAAAAATATGGAGGTTGTGGCCAGCAAGCACAGAGACAAAGAACTGAAAATACTGGGTTTGGCACATTAAATGTGGAAAGCTAGGTTGGGTCTACCTGGCAGCCAGCAATATTTCCATCTCCTCCTGCACACAGCATGGTTTTCTTAGCTAGGCTACCCCACCAGTCGCTCCTGGAGCAGATGGAGTGCTCCACAATGGGGAGAGGGGCTTCCTGCAGAATAGCAGGGGAGCTGCCTCCAGCTGAGAGGGAGAAACAGAATCTGAGACAATGAGATGTGCAAAACTAGTAAAAAGGCTGTGCAGCCTAAGCTGAAGGTCTCATCTTGGTGATTTTTCAAAATCCTAAAAGTTCTTAATGCCGAGATATGTGCAGGACAGCAGAGATGAAATGTCTTCATGTTACACCACTTCGTTTTTGGAAAGTTGATTAAGAGGGGATGTTCTTGCAATGAATCTAGGATTTCAATGGTTTTTGAAGGTTCTTTGGTTCTTCTTAAGCAACAATGCAAAGACAATCTTGGACAATTTGTTTCAATTCATAGTGTGGGGTACGATTAGGCGATTGGATAGACTCCTTGTTTTGTTTTTTTTTAAACTTACACTGAGTCAGACCCCATCCCGTGATGTAGCAAGTATACCCGTTCGGAAGGAACTGCTCATACTCTGGTAGCTGAGCAATTTCAATAAAACCGTTATCATAGATGGGAGAAGCAAGCTTCAGTAGGGCGATATCATTTCTGAAAAATAATATAATACAGTATATTATAATCCTAATGATAACCTTGCACATAAAATCTTAGATTAACCCTCTCATCCACTCTTTTTAGAATAGGCTCTCCTACCCTCTGATCAGAGGCACCAGAACTGAGAGCCTTTTTCTTCATTTATACCTAAAATATAATTTTTGAACAGTGAAAATAATTGTTTGGAGGAAGTTCTTATTATTATTGTTGTTTTTAAAGTCTATACAGGCTGATTATTTGTTTTTCAATCTTGTGGTGCTGGAAGAGTTCTGCTTGTTGAATGTTGGTGTTATACTGTGGTTGTATTGTATTACTGTGGTATACAGTAAGTTATTTATTCATGAGCTCTTGATGCGCAAGACAAAATCCCTTAAGGGCAATAAAGCTTATTTGATTTCAACAATAAGACTTTAGTGTAATACTATGAAACTTTCAAAATCCAGACACTGGACAACATAGATTTCTGTTGCCATTTTCTTTTTAATTTCATAATTTTGTTTTTCCATTTTTAGCCATTTAATTATTTTCAAAACTACAACATAGTTTTGGATTGGCAAACCAGCCTTAGTGGGGGAAAAAAAACCCTTGCACCCAGATACACACGATGATATAAGAGTAGTGTTGGAAGTTGGTCACAGCCCTTACCCATTGCCAAGATCGCCAGTCCACTGGGGGTGCAGAAAAATTCTTTCCACGGGAAGGACAATCTCTGTGCCTTCTTGTATGTAAAGGTTGTATTCTCCCAGAACAACCCGGAAGTTTGTGCTTTGAGGGCTGTAAAAAGAAAGGATAAATCAAAGGTATGACACCTAATGAACTTACTGTTCATAACTCTTTGAGTTGTCCCTTACGCAATACACTTTCCAAACTGTAGACAGTTTATAGTGAAGTACACAATGTTTGAAGGGACATTTCAAGTATTGTGTGCAGAACATTTTTCTGGGCTCAAAAGATCTCCAGTCTTTAAAGAATCTACCCAACATGAAACTGCCTAGGAATATTAGGATTTGCCTAAAGATGCTAAAAATCACACATCTTAAGTCATGTATGCAGTGTGTAAATATATTTAAGAGACATGCCTAAGCCTTCAATCATCATAGTGTCAAAACTGTTGAGGGAAGGAACGTTGGCCCTGCACCAAGGGTCTGACCAAGATAGTCATTAACAATTTCATTCTCATTTTTCCAGTACACTGGATTGGCTGCTACACCATCTCAGATGCATCATGATGACACGAACATCAAGACGACTAAACAGACAATTTATTCATAGCTCACAAATCCAAGAATATTAACAGATGATCAGGAGTGTTCTAAAAACACCAAGCAGATCAATGTTTTCATTTGTCTGTTAATAAGCAACATAGGTTCTGAGGAATGTAAAACTAAATGTTGTGTTCTTACCTGAGAATGCAGTGACCAGCGGTCATGACAAAATTGATAGAAATTAGTGTGCCTCCACAGATGTGATAGAAGCTAGTCTCATCATATGGTTCACCATATTGCAAAGAGACCTGTGCAAAAAACAATGTACAGAAGACAGGAGAAGATAGTATACACGAGAACGACATCATCTCTCATCATTAGAACTGGTAAATAATGAGGTATAAATCAACTTTTATATATAAAATACTTTATATACGCCAATCCAAAAAGCAACTTGATTACAATGTTTGAGTTATTGTACAGGGTAATCTGGTTGTAACTGTCTTTATGTACAGTGTGTACAGAGGAGCCCCTTTCAGAAGGATCCTAGTTGAAGGACTTATGAGGAGGAGAATTCGGGGAAAGCTTTTCTGAGTTTTTAAATAGCATTTGTAAGACAAAGCATCTCATCGTATCCTGTTGCATTCCAGAATGACCTCACCTGCCATCTCCAGTAGTTTGGGGGAGCATCTGTTCCTCCCACCACCCGTTCTGTCCCCTGGCTGGATACAGCATCTCTTAATGGGGAATGGCTCCCATATATTACCCCTTATGGAACACAACACCCCCCACCCAACAGTGGAGAGTTAACCAACGTGTCATTAAAACATCACATTCCAATTATCCACCCATCTGTTTTCTAGCTGTTTCATCTGATTCAGGGTCGCAATGAAGCCTATCCCAGCAAGCAAAGGCCACAAGGCAGGATACACCATGGACAGGATGCCAGTCAATCACAGGACACACACAGACATACAGACACACCAGAGCCAGTTTTCCCAGAAGCCAATTATCCTGCCAGTATGGCTTTGTACTGTAGGAGAAAACCAGAGCCTCCCTGGAAGAAACCCATGCAAAAATAGGGAGAATATACAAACTCCATACACCCCAGAAATGGAACTCAGGGCCCCAGCACAGCAAAGCAGAAATGCTAACAACTGATAAATGTTTCATTACAAGCTTTCACAGTTTGCCTGATAGTCGAGACTCTTACAGTGCATGGCAGATGCACAGGATAGAGGTAGGCTGGTACTTTCACAGTATGCAACCTTTACGAGCTACAAGCAGTAACTTGTAGGAGCTGAAGGCTCTTACCTGCTGCATAACACTAAATCCAGTTTCTATTTTTTCACATAACTACCTGCTGGTAGGTTTTTTTAATATGCACCCAGGTGTCGTGGATGGAGAGTCACAGAGATAGTAGTTGCAGTCACTCAAATTACCACTTCATTACACTTTCAAATGAAAGGGTGAACAGAGTTGGCTGTACACAGCATTGTAAATCTGGCACAAATCTTTTAATATGTATGACTGAGAATGAGTTTATCCCTTGCTGCTAAAAATACAAATCTCAAGAGTATTATATTCACTTCCTGCTCAATCTGGCCTCCATGCTCTTAGTTAGAGCTGCTTTCTTAACAGATGTGCTTAAGATTTCATATTTTTGTTGCAGGTTATGAGATATGATGTATTTTGATTGTTAAGAAATAAATGATTAGTATTATATTATTCATATAATAGCAGCTAGCAAATCAAATAACTATCAATTAGCAAAAATAAAACTGCTTTTGCCGCATCCCTCAAATGAAAATCTTAATTCTCGTATTCTTTGGAGTTTTAATGATGATATTGAAAGATGTTGCAGTTATGTTATGTTAAATGAGAAATATTTGTTCTCATAATTTAACCCAGTTTTCATCTGAATAGCAAAAAGAAAACAGCAAAATAGAGGGCTAACATTTCTATAGCATTATAGTTACCAAGGCAGGACAATAATACCAAGAGCCGCATCATCTTCATTCAGAAATGTAGGACTTCATAGCATAACGGTTCAATATATATATGTTTCCTGGATTGGAAAGTAGGATTTACTCCAGTGGAAACTGACTTTATCTGCCTTTGTCTTTATCATATATTTACAAAACCTGGCAGTTTTTTTTTAGATTATCTAAGGACATTTTAAAACAGTTTATTTTGACCATTTGACACAAAATAAATTATATTCTTGAATGATTCACGTTTTATTCCTTTGAAAGTTGAAATACTGTAGTTGCAACTGGTTAATATAGCTTTATACATGGTGTGCATTGTAGTGAAAAATAGGTCTTTAGAGGCTTATTTGTGAACATACATAGTAGATTTATTATGCAGTTAGTAAAAGCTGATGTTATTTATATCAAATATATATGGAAATGAATTGCCTTTCTCCAGTATGTCTGTCCTTGCACATATTGTCCTAGGAAAAGAGCACACAGAGCTTTGTTCAAGGTTGTGCCAAAAAACGCAATTTAAGCAAATTGTAATGGGATCCCCGCAGATGGTTTTTTATCCTGTTGCTAAATGACTGCCAGTTCTTTTCCCATTATCTCTTTATTTTAGCTAAGAGATAACCAGATCTACTAAAATACATATATTATGCAGTGTTTGAGTTCAAAAGAATGGGATGGCATACAAGACATTTACAGTAAACAACAAACCATAATTTGTTCTTAATTTTTGGCATTGAACTTTGCCAGTTGTAACTGAAACAATGATCTAACCTTTTCTGGAGTAGTGGTTCAAAGTGATTTTGAAGAGAATCCCAGTAGAGTAGAGTGAGAATATACAGGCCTCCTCTCATACGACGATGTTTATAATTTTTATTACACTCTTATTTGGTTGTATGCATTTTATAATTTTATAATTTTTGTGCTTAAAATGCACTTTTGCGGGCAGACAGGCAACATGTTCCTGTTGATATAGGTACATAAAAAAGATTACAAATGAAAAGTGATGAGCAGGTTCACTTGTTACTAGTACTCAAGGCAATTCTTGAAGTGACATGGAATGAATTTTAACAACCTGGCTAAGCAGCATGTTGCAGACACCTGTCAGCCTAACAACTTGAATCACAGCTGTTTAAATGCATTGTATAAGAAAGTAAGCTAGACTGATACAGAAGAGCCCCACTAGCACTGTTTTTCCAAATTCTTGTGTGTCTTGTGCAGTGATTACAATTTGAGAGGGGTTTACTAGTCTTGTAACAATAGGTTGGGATTCAGTATAGATATGGAATTTATAAACACATTGCATGAAAATATGTAATACTTTCTGTAAAAATGTGAAACTAACCACAGATATAACAGTTTTGGGAAAAAAAAACTTTTTTCTGCCCAAATATCAAAGGAAATTCAGCTGCAGTAGAGATTCGGAAAGGTAAGAGTGAAAATGTTACTGTTCATGGTAATTTTGAGTGTAATATCAAGAATTTTCTCTTTTTTTAAATTAAAGTATATTTGGTGTAGCTGATTACCAAACAACACATTTGCCTTTCACAAGCAAACCTGGCCATTAGTTCAGCTGCGTACTTCTCACCAAAATTAAATTTTAATCTTCACTCTCTATTGCCAGGTATTTGACAGTTACTATCATGTTTACTTTCATGTTTTTATTAACATTAGTGGAAGCTATTCTTTTAAACCATAGAATATGGCAAAATAATTGGCATACTGGTGAATTGCATATTTATTTTTCATTTTTAAAATTGAAAACATTTCCTAGCTATATATCAATTAAATAGATTCTAGATTCTTTTTTATGTGCATTGGGGCCATTGAAATTTAAAAAAAGAAAAAAACCCATAGATGAGCAGCAAGGTGACTCAGTGGCAAGGAATTAGTATGCACAGCGCTGATGTCCTGGGTTTATTTCCAGATGTGGAGTGTTATCTTTGCAGTTTCTGTTCTCCCTGTGTTTGCACAGGTTTCCTCTGGGGGCTCCAGTTTCCTCCCACAGTCCCGGTTGACTTCCAGGCAGAATTAGAAGAAGCAGTTCCAAAATGGATGGATAGATGAATTGTTAGAGGGCGAAGAATTTGCACTTTTCATTATTTTTCTAAACGAATTAACAAAATGCCAATGTCCATAATAATTTGTCTATAATGCTTGTTATTATATCAAATCAGTTGTATAAAACTTCTCTTGTTTTAATGGTCTCATTAAAATGGATTTTTTTAACATGTATTGCTATATGCAGGAGTAATATTGAAGACGGTATCAATTTACCTGCCCACATGTGATTAAATGTTTTGATCCTTCAGTGTTGCTTATAATAAGGAATGTAAGCTGGGATTAGACCATTGTGAGAGAGATCAGTTATTATATTACACTACAGATAAATTATGTTTAGTAAGATTAACTATTACTCAGTGTAGTTAGACATTCTGTTCCCTTAGAGGGGAGTCCTTCATATTTAGAATAACTCACTATAACAGGACATTTTAAGATTTTTTTGTAAAGCTTACTTCTTCCTATCTTCATCATTTGTTCTTTATACTTTTGTGTAAGATGTGGAGACAAATCCATACGTACAAATATTTTCAATGCACTAACAACTCCAGATACAATTGTAGTAGTTCCACTTCCTAGTCAATGCATCTCTGAAGTAGTGAGAGGTGGCGTTAAAAGAAAAACAACTACCCAGAAAATAACCCAGGGTAAAATGGTACACAACTGGGATAATTGCATAATTATCACCCGGTGGAAGATTCCACCAGAGGTAAAGGAGCAGATCTGATTTGTCTTTGTGTGCAATTGATCATTCCCCTGGACGAATGGGAAGGCATTTAAGAACAGCCAGGAAGAAAAAGGTTTTAGTCTGTGTCTAGGATTCAAGAGTGCTCAGCAGCAACAGATTGATGTGGCTTACAGACGTGTGGGACTCAGTGAGAAACCAATGCTTGAGATATGTAATATACTGTAGCATAGGCTGTACTGAGGGGCATCACAAGTGCAGGATGGCTCAAAGGAGATGAAGTGTGCTGCTAAGTAACAGGGCTGATAAGGTGTTTGCACCCAGATGGGTCCTGAGTATTCCTAGGCCATACCGATAACAGACAGGTGTGTAGACTCATATAGAGTAGTGTAGCGTTTGCAGGATCTTTTTCAGAACTAAAGAATAGTGGAGACGCGATAAACCAAGCACTGACTTTATTTAACAATCACACCTAAACCACAAGATCTACACACATGAGGAGACTGACGAACACGTACACACATTTAGGGTGGTAATTACCTAACAACACACTCTACTTTTACAGGACTACACAGGGCACTAGAACTACTAGGACATTATTTACACAGGTAGGGTCAGCCGCTGGTCATCGTGCTGACCCTCAGACTCTCCCCGGCTACCACTCCCAGCATGCCCAGCGGTACTACGAGCGCCTAGGGGCGCTTCCTCCTCACCACCAGGCGAGGGCGTTACAGTAGTCTCATATGAGAGGTGTGAGAAGATGGAACTATTGCAGAATATTTTAATGATTTTTAAAAAAATGAAATTTCTTTATTCTTTTTAAATTCAGGAAATAATTTACATACAGTGGTGCAATGTTATATTTTTGCATTTCACTGCCAAAAATCCATTTTTTTTTGCGAACTGTCGGCTGTTTTGCCTCACAGCCAGCAGGTGGCGAGAGTGGGCCTGTTTTTCACCGAAGCGCGTGAGTTTAAAAGTGAAATTAACGGCAAATGTCGCAGTATGGTGAAATACAGCAACTTTAATTATGAATCTTTGTAAATTTACAGAAACCTAAATAAATGTGTTCTGACCGAATTAACATGTCTTTTTATTCCTGAAGTGCGAAACATTGTTTTATTTCAGAACTGAGTTTTTTTTAAAGAACAACTATTAACCACAGTCATTTACAATTATTTTAATTTGAAGGGTTCTTTTGAAAGATCAATGTTAATATTTTCCAATCCTCTGTATTAAGGTCTGAGAGAGAACTGGGCCCTTTCTAGGATTTCTTTTCGAATCCTTGGATAGCCAGGGTAGTCAGTCAGGACCTACAAAATTGAACAACAAAAATAAGATTAGAATAATAGAAAATGGGTACTCTAATTCTGGGGGAAAACAGACAAGTTAAAGAATAAGAATTGTTTCCACTTCAATTACCCCTATTGTTTTACTGCTCACATTTCCCATACAAGTAAATACAGTAAATACAATACATAAAACATACAATGTTATTTGCATTGAAATAATAATAATGAAAGAAACACAATACATATGCAGCAAAGAGTCTTTGAGTCTGTGGATGTATTCATTTTAATACATGGAAATTCCTTATTGAGAATTTCTCCTTCTTGCATGTTTTTTTTAATTGTATTTCTTCCATCTGTAGGACATCCTAACAGATTTGTGTGTTACGTCTGCCAAATCTTTTTTAATTTGCAAAATAACCTTCCACAGTTTTCACATTGTATTGAAGTATGCAGTCACAACACTTTGTAGTAACATTAATATATTAAATAAATCTTAAAGCACAACATACATTGCACATTCAAATCATAAAATAACAAGAAAGAAGTAAATAGATAATTCAGATGAAAGAAAAAGGGAAAAGTCATAAAACCATTAGTATTCAAATCTTTTGCTGTGGCAAAACTAATTTAGATGTACAAAACTAACTTCAGGAGTCACACTATTTGTTTAGTGTGCAATAATAGTTTTTCTCATGATTTTAGAATAAATATACCTATCCCTGTAAGGTTCCACAGTCAGTGGATTACAATACATCCCTATGAGCCTGCAGTCATGCACTGCTGCAAATGATGAACTGCATGACAGTGGATATTTCTGAGTGGAAAGTACACAGCTTTTTTATTTTCAGCCATGCTGGTCCAGGTGTCATTTCCACAAATGACTTTAACAATATCTGGCAATTCAAATTGAAAAAGAAAAAAAAAAGATTCAGAATTTAATTAAAATAAATGTCACTTTTATGGCTTCTGTTGCATGTCAGTATTCAAAAATGTAACTCTGTTACACCTTCAATGGTAAAGGACAAATTACAGGAGATGAACCTGAACCTGCTTCCCCTTTCTGTATCTTAGTGCAATGTTGACTGTGTAAATACAGACCTTTTGGCAAACGTCGATTGCTTCTGTATATTTCTTGGCTTTTAGGTAATTGAAGGCAAGCCTAAAACCTGTAAAAAATAAAAAGTGTTGCTAAAATTATTTTAAAAAATCGAGCAGAAATAACATTTCCTAACAAAATGCTTTGCTTCTTCTACATTCAGTAAAATAGGTCAGTGCTTGTATGGGTTCACAAGAATCCCATGGACCCTTCTGACCAGGTGTTAGTATAACCTTTATAGAAAGGTACTGAAACAGATCTTATAGACAAAACAAAGGCGAAAATGGAAGAATGTCACAAGCGTAGAAATATTGATGCATATTTGTTTAGGCAATATGGGCACTTTGTGTAAATCCTGCTGTATCACTGGCTAAAAGAGTTTCCATAAGGCCAAATGGCTCTCTATATCTACAGTATGAGCACTAGCCAAACATGTTGCCTATGTAGGGACATACTGTACACTCCATGACTTCATCCCCATACAGCCCTTTTTTATCTGCTGCAGGGCTATTAAAACTGCAGCCCTTCCAATTTTTGCATTTCACAATTACGTGTTGAAGCAGAGGAGCATCGAGATAAATATTAAGGTTACAGTTGCGCTAAAGTACTTTGGATTTTTTTTCTGCATCAGAATCCACTTTTGAATTCAACACTTCAGTGCAGTTTCGATTTTTCACAAATCTCTTTGTTGCTGTATCCAGTTGTCAGTAACAGATGCTATCTTTATTGGCTAAATTTGATTGTTTCACAGTAACTGTACTGTTCTAATTTAAACTACGCAAACAGAGAAATTGGAGGTATGTTTTAAATTGAATTAGTAATTTACAAACACAGCTCCTCACCAACAGCAGGGTTCATCCTGTTGCTGTATTTCCAGGCCATTTCATAGTTGTTTGCAGCGTCCTTGTAAGACTGTTCCATTTCCATGATGAAGCCTAGGTATTCAAATGCTTTACAGCACGACTGAAAACCCAAAACAGAAATGCATAGATGAACACCAATTTCTAAAAAACACAATTAGATTGTAGTATACATTGTAACATTCCTAACAATTCATTTTACAGGGAAAAAAAGTTTAAAACGTGTAATTAGGTATCCAAGTGGACTTATTTTCACATACATTTTGACAGATGCATATTCACGGGCTACTGGACTCATCGTTAAAAAAGGGATCAGGTGGTTTCATCCCATGTTTTTTTCTCTCCAAGGCCTGAGTGTACTCTAACCAGCCACTCTCTACACCTGCTCAGACTAATAAATCATCTTTCTTTCCACCCCAGGTCCCTTCAAAAACAGATGCTAATTTCACACTTCACATACTGTAGCTTCATCTACTGTAATCTGAGGTTCTTGTTTTTGGTAAAACATACATAAACCTATATATATATATCAGTTTTACACAACTAAAAAGAAGTATCATGGAATAAAACTACAAAAAAATTAAGAACATATTTAATAGTTCCTCTTGCTAACTTCGATTATTATTGTGTTTAGGTCTCTATTTAAATCTGCTCTTCTCAAAATCCAGCTTGAGTGTCTGAACTGAGGTCATGTATAGACAATATTTAACTATTTCATGATTATTTAATATTTGTCTAGGGCTCCAGCCAGCTCTGTTCGCCTGGCTCCTGGCACGTACCTGAATATTTCTGGCTGACTTGTCAAAAGACATGTCCTTTGAGAAGCTCACCACCAGTCCAACTAGCACAAATGAACAGTATTTGCCTTCAAAAGTATCAAGTGCAAAACCATGTGGTGTTCATTAAAAATATTCCAAAAGCGTAAAATGGCAGATGGTTTTATTAATAATAATAAAATTAATATTTTCACATACAAGCCAGGTGGCCCTTCAAACAATTGTCTTGGCTGCCCACCCCTGACAATACCCTTGCTGTCAAGTAGAAGAACAAGTCTTGCCTTATTATAGAGCAAACAACGCTTCAGGAAGTCTATTGCGATGTCGTATTTGCCAGAGCTGATATAAATGTCAGCTAGGAGCAGCCAGCTTTGTTCAAATTCCTCAGCATTTCCCTCGTTCCACTCCATTTTCCCAAGCCTCTTAAGTTGGTTTCTGGCCCTGGGAGTTTGTTTCAGGATCATGAAAGCCTGAGCCATGGCCAACAGGGATGGGATGAGGTTCTTCTGTAAAGAAAAAAATAGACGAATATTTGGAATATTTTCAGAACTGAAAATACATGATGCTAATGCACCAAAATGAAAGATTCAGACTTAATATGGTTTAACTTCTTCCACTACACAATTTCAGTATCAGATTAGTTCTTAGTGTCATACTAATGTCAAACAGGCAAAAGCAGTTGTATAATTGGATCAAAACAGCTTAGGTACCTTAGCCATTTCAGTGAATGCGAGAAGTGCCTTTTCAACTTGCTTAACATCTTTGGTAGCCATTAAGCAGCGATTTTGAAGGAGTTGAAGCTTCTCCTGCGCTTGCTTTGTTCGAGGTTGATGCTTCTTTAGCAGATTTTCTGCGGTCTTTACTGCCAATTGCTCCAACTCCTTTCTTTCATTTTCATTGGTGCTGTTGTAACACGTGAATGAAAAAGACTTTGAAAACTCAGCATGTTTCTGTTCTTTTGGTATTAAAAGGGGTTTGCATAAATACGTTCTAATCACAAAAATGAGTGTAGTTATTTATCTTTTAATCTATCTATTACCAATTTCACAGGAAAAGTACATTACAAATGCATTCAGAGGACCGAAAAAAAAAAACAGTTATTTTTGTTAAGTTTGTTTGGACATGCATTCAAGTCCCTGAAATATTTTTATGACAGGATTTGTCAGTTTGTGAGTTCTATATATTTCTTGTGCGGGGAGATTTTGAGCACTGAGGTTGCATTGCGTTTGTGCTGGATTGTTCATAGTCATTTTGTTCAGGTTAAAGTTTGTTTAGGTTTCTGGATACTCCACTCAAATCGCTTTACAGATAATGGGGACTCTCCTACACCACCACTAATGTGTAGCACCCATCTGGAGTGTGCAAGTATGCTCCCCAGACATCAGCTAAGAATGGGGAGGTGAAGAGAGTAATGAAGCCAGTTCATACATGAGGATGATTAGGAGGCCATGATTGTTAAAGGCCAGGGGTAAATTTGGCCAGGACACCATGGCCACTTCTACTCTTTTCAGGAAATGCCCTGGGATTTTTATTTACTTGACTGACAGTCAGGACCTTGGTTTTATGTTATAAAGTATAAATATACATTATAAAATTTTATAGTATCCCCTCACTATACTGGGACATTAGGACCCACATAGTCTGCAGGGTGAGCACTCCCTATTGGTCCCATTAACACCTCTTCTAGCAGCAACCTTAGCTTTCCCAGGAGGTCTCCCATTCAGGTACTGGCCAGACTCACATCTGCTGAGCTTCAGTGGGTTATCAGTTGGGAGTTGCAAGGTAATATAGCTACTCGCTGTTTTGTACAGTTCAGACTATTCATTTTACTTCACAGACTATGTATTAGTTTTAGCACCCAGAAACGTTATAATATGCAGAACTAAGAAATACAGATAGAAAAATATGAGAAAATGTAATTATTCTGTCATTCAAATATTCCAGATACATGGTTATAATAATTAAAACACCAAAACAATGAACTGATGATTCCAAATTTTTCTGGTCTGTTATCTAATGTTCAGAATATAAATCTTTTTTAAGACTTGGGTTTAACTGTTCCCAAGCATGAAGATATTAATTTATATTCTGTCATACCTTGGCTCCTCAGGAGAAACCTCAAACACTTCCCCACCTATGGTTTCATTGTCAGGATTAAGGCAAATCTCAATCATATTATAAATAGCATTTTCACCCCAGTCTGTATCTTTACGAGCCTTATTAAAGTGTTTCAAAGCCTCATTTGGCTGTCCAGTGTGCCTGGAGAAAAAGCATACAGTACATATGATGTCGCAACTCAGGAGACTGGAGATTACTTAAAAAACTTGGGCCTTTAAAAAATAACTTTGATTTTAACAACAAATTAGTTGACACTGATCAAAATAACAATGCTAACATTAATTAGTAATTTTCAGTTCTTTGTTCTTTAGACAGCACTAACAAACTAAAAAAGTGTGAAGCAATTAATATTAGCAACAGCAGAATCCATTAAGATAAACTGCAACTCAGTCCCTAACTAAAGGGGATCAGTTTTTAAGACATTGCAGATATTTTCAGGTGTTGTTAACAAAGACCACAAAACAGTGTAAAATCATCTGCATTATAATGTTGGTGCTATTTCAGATCTTAATCCATGTAAATTGTTTCTGGGATTATAGGAAGACTATTGAATAGGTAGCTCTATTGTAAAGACATTTTTAAAATCTTGTTAATGTCTATTTAAAGCCATATCTAGATGAAACAGATACTAATTTCAAATGGTTATTCAGTAAATGCATAATTGTGCTCTTCTGGCAAAAATGTATATTCTTTCTTTACCTCTAGAATATAATGCTGAGGTTGCATGAGAGGTAACTTACTTCAACAAGATTTATTACTTAAAGTGGTAGAATCTAAATGTATAGTACTAACCACAGATATAGTCCTTTGCAGTAATTATAACCTGGTTCCATAGCCGCCCTTACAGAGTGATTTTCTGACATTTTCAAATAGGATGGGGCATCATCAAGTCTACCAGTTCTTCTCAGTAGGTCAATAAGTTTTGCCAAGACAGAATAATTATCTGTCAAAACAAGAACATTTTGTATTTGTCCTTGGAAATGGCTTGGAAAGAAACATATCTTTGGAAAGAAGTATATTTAAACAATATGTTAAACAATTTTGAACCTTTGTTTTGCTTTTTATTACATATCATTGTCCATTTCCATGGAATTTTCCAGTCCTATAGGATTGAAAGTTGAGCTTCTTAAAATATAATTCCTGGGACATGACAGTTTTCAAATTTTTAAAATCCCTCTTTTGTAATTATTTCTAAATGTTAAATCTTTTTTGTAAATGAAGAATATTATTGTAACACTTTGGGATTCACAAGGGCATCCTCGCCGCTGCCGCATCAGGTCAGCCCCCCACTGTCTGGGACTCAAACCTGGGCCTCCAGCATCACTCAACAGGGACCCAGCCTCTTGAGCCAAAGGGAAATCTCCTTTCAGCCCAGCGGCTGCAGTCCCTGCTATTCACAGGGAAGGGCAGTGACATCACTGCTCTGGTAAACCATCTCTCACAAGCAATGGAGGCCATATGCGTTACACTCTCCCCCACTTCACTTGCCACCCTCGGCAAAGGGCTATCCCATCCCACTCTGACACCAATGTAACACTTCAGGGTTCATGTGGGTGCCCTCGCTGCTGCCGCATCAGGTCAGTCCCCCACTGTCAGGGACTCAAACCCAGGCCTCCGGCATCACTCAACAGAGGCCCAGCCTCTTGAGCCAAAGGGAAATCTCCCTTTAGCTCCACTGACTGGGTCCCTTTTGAGTGACGCTGGATCCCGGGATTGAGTCCCTGATGGTGGGGGGCTGACCTGAGGTGGCGAGGGTGCCCACGTGAACCCTGGAGTGCTACATTATGAAGGAAGCATTATGAAAATGTATTTTGACTCACCTTTAATGACTTAGGGTGTTTTGCATCACATTACCCTTTTTCAGAAAGTTAATATTCAAATCAACGGTATCATCTCCTGCACAAATTACTATTTAAAACTAGTTTTATGTTTTCTCATAAAATATTATACTTATTGTATTTTAAGATGTTTTACTTACACATTTACTTACACAGTTTATTTCTGAGATTTTCATTGAACACATTTCAACATATTACATAATAAAAAGCTTTTTTAAGAATATTATCGAGACATTGGTTTCGTAAACATATAATGGAAATATTTTAATACCTGGGAATTGCTCAATCAACTGCGTGCAGTGGAGTATTGATTTTTCATACTCTTCTCTTCTGAACAGCAAATCTGCCATTAGCTACAAGAGAGATTTCATGTGAATCTTAGAAAATTCAAAATCAAATATACAAGTGTATTTTATAACATATTGGATTTTATAAATTTCTTCACCATGGGTCAGAGCATATTTCATGGGTATTCTGTTTTCAAAAATGTCATAACGGAATAGACAAAGCAACCCAAATAGTTTCATCAAGCTTGATAGATGAATAATGCCAAAAGACACTTTTGAAGATAAAGGCATGCAAGCCTTTTGGGTCTTTTGGCCAATTTACATCACCTGATTACAGAAGCAATACTTCAGAAAGGTTGATGATCTCATTGGATTAATAATACTTCTTAGAATACAAGTAAAACAGGTTAAATACCAATTTATTAATTAATATACATATAAAATGTTATATGAGGTTTGCCATGTAAAGCACAAAATATTACCAATCTATTTTACCTTTAAATATATATTAAACACTTAAGAAATACAATGCTTGGAATCAAGATTAAGGCTAGAAAATGTGGGGTTAGGCTATATGTTTTAGCTTTGACGTATTTTTGCATTGTTTGTAAAAATCACAAGACACAATAATATACAGTAGGTAGTGGTCACATGTATCATTGAAGCCAGGTACCAAAAGTACATGTATGTGAGTGATCAGTTCCTGGTGTGTCTACCTTTAGCTTTAAAACAAGTACGTGAAAGGAGTGACATAGACTCCTAGAGCTAATGCGTATGGAATACAAGTATGCTCCTCCATGAGATTTGTAGATCTACAGCTACTTTATGCTGTTGCTTCCTTGTGGGCTTTTTTTTTTACTTTAGTTTTCTCTTCAAAACATAAATTGCATGCTCAGTAGGATTGTGTTTGGAGGCATTTTTTCAGACATGGGTAGACAAGATGTTTCGGTACACTTTAGAATTCATTCTGCTGCTGCCATCATCCATTACCCCATCAATGATGACCGGTGAGCTAGTTCCAGAGGTAGATATGCATGCCCAAACAATGGCACTATCTCCACCATGCTTCACTAATGATACTGTGTACTAAGGGTATTTTGTAGTGCCTCTCTTTTTCAGGACTCATGCCTTTCCATCAATTTATGTCCATAAAACTTTGTTCCAGAACCCTTGTGGCTTGTCTTTGTACTTCTTTGTAAATTCTAATCTGGCCTTTCTGTTTTTAGTACTAATGAGAGGTTTACATTTTGCAGTGGAGCTTCTTCTGTGCGCAGTCAATTGATATACTTTCACCTTTGCACTCTCTTTGGCTGTTGTTATTGGGATATTTTTCACAACTTCAATTATTTTTATTTCACCGACTGATGTCGTGTTCCTTTGACACTATTGTCTTTGTTGATTGCTTATTCCTCCAGCAGTTTCCTTCTTTTTAAAGACATTCCAAACTGTTGACTTTGTGATACCCAACCTCTCAGCAATGGTTGAAATTGGAGTTTGATTTGCTCCCGAGTTCATGATTACGAGTTCATGATACTTTTCCATCAGAGACAACTCTAGTCTTTATCTAGGCTTATGTCTTCTAACTCAAGAGGTAGACCCAAAAGGTAAACTCCAAAGGCTGGAAACAAAGCCTTTATCTTTTCATAATTAATGCAACACAGAACGCCTGAGCAATTAGCAACAACTGTCAGCCATTTGTCACAATACTTATGCTCACCTGAAATGGGGACATTGAACACAACAATTGAGATTGCTCTAACATGGCTAAAGTTGTATGCAAAATAATACCCAGAAACAAAGCTTAAAACTATGCATTTATCTCATATTAATACTTTGATGTGAAATACAAAGTTCAATAGCACACAGCAAAAATAACAAATTTCACTTCACTCTCCCAATACTTACTTTCAGTTGGTAGTGTCACTGGTGTCTCATGATTGTGAATGGACAGGCCATAATTGTTCTCGCATCATAATTCCCAGACTGAACTTCTTCTCTTTTTCACTAAATTATGCCAGTTTTGCAGTATGATACAACTGACATATTAATTTGCCTCACCTTGAAAGCTCAGAAGTGTACATTTTCTACCACAAATATGTGGCATGCTACACTTAATATTTTAATGCATGTCATATCCCCTCAGAAAAAAAACAAGATAACTAGATAATTGGATAGCACAAAATATTAATATTTAAAGGTGAAATTAAATGTAACAGTTTTAAAGTGTTCCAGCAGATGTCATTTCTATGCTAAATGTATTAAGTGGAAACTCTTTTCTGAAAGGTTTCAATATGTTTTATTCTCAGGTACAAGTATTTTCTCTGCTTTTGCAAGTACTCCTCACAAAAGGATGCTTGAAGGAAGAGTAACCAATAGTTCTCACTGTAATTTTCCCTGGTTTTGGTGTAACATATAGCAGTAAATTAACTGAATTATTTTATTTCTTTATTAAATTATTAAATTAAATAATGAGCCAAAATTTAATAGGACTTAATTTACATTTTGTACCAGAAAGAAATTATGCATAGTTTAACATTTTAATGACTTAAAAGAGATAAAATGACTGCTGTATTGTCTATTGCTCTGTTATGCTGTGTTCTAATTGGGTGTCTTGTTGGTTGTTTATGTGACAAATTTTGTAAAAACAAAAATAACCAAACACCTTTATAATCTATTATTGAGCACAAAGAGTACACATCAAAGCCGAGTGGTATAACATAACAGTTTGGTCTATGATTGTGTGAATTTTTGACTATTGAGAAAAACACAACAATAAATACCATAACGGCATCTTCATTGTTCTCTTCATTTTTCAGCAAGACTAGACACTGTTGGCGGCATGAATCCACATCTCCTTGTACCAGGTACAAACGTGCCAGCTCAAGCAGTATCTTAAATTGTCATACAAAGAAAAACGCAACTATTAAGTAAAATTGTTCACAAATACAACTCCTTTTAGCTCCTGAAAAATATTGTCTCATTAAAAATACTGTAGCATTTATAATATTCCAACACTACATAAATAACAAATTTTAATTAATAATTTAATGAATTGCTCTAATAAAAAGCATAAGGATTTATTCCAATAAATAAAATAGGTCGTAAGATACAGTATAAACATTGAATATAAAGCACTCACTTTGCTGTCTTCTTCAGAGTAAGTCAAAGCTTCCTTGTAAAATTTCATTGCCTTTTCAAAATCTTTTTGTTCCCAAAATTGCTGGGCTATGTGACAGCAGATTGATGATGCAACTTGTTTCTGCGCAGGAATAATTTCTGGCTGTTCTAGAGGAAGTCTTCTCAGTATTCTTGTCTGAATATCATAGGCCTAATGGGAAAAAAATCTAATACAATAACTTTCTTTTCTTTTTATTTCAAATATCCTAAACCTTAAATAAACTTGATGTATTTACATGCATCTATGGTAGAATAAATGTAAGCATTTTAGAAGAAATATGTATACATCACTCAAGGTTAATAGAGTTAATATGTGTAAATAGAACTACAGCAGATATCAGCTGTTAAAAACAATTTTAATTCAGTATTTATGGGTAGTTTTTCAAACAGTACTACAGTATATAAAGTGCTATTTTTATTTTGAGCACTACCTCAAAGTCATATTAAAACTATTTTTCTAAATACATCTTTTTATTCAAACAAGCCCATCTTCCTAAACAAAGAAATGGGCGCAGTGTTATCAGAAAACTGCATTATTTCTGTGGTTATGATTGCTATGTAGATTAAATAAATAAAAAACTGTGATTAAAATAATTAAATACATCTTTAATTTATTACTGACTTTCAAATGCCAAACATGCTATTATTTAATGTCTTTCTTAATCATCATTCTGAAAATATGAATATTTGTTGTGCACAGCTTCATAAATGACATATCCTGATGCTGTGTTATATTTGGAAAACACTGGGTTGTGTATTAATTCACCTTATTTAATGTATCCATGGCAGGTTTTCCACACACGGTGTAAACTTTTGCCAGTAAATTTAAATGCTTCACATCATGGATCATTGTAGGCAAGTCATTTGCTGAAACACAGATTGCAAACCATCATCAAATACTGTATCCATTCAATTATATATTACTTTTCTTTGCAGAGAAAATGCTTGTCAGACTTAATTCTTTATTTTTGAGGCTTTTGGAATTTTTAAAGTTTTTCACCCCAGTGCAGAATTTGTTCCAAATTTAATGAAAGCTATTGTAAAAGTAGGCAAATACTGACCAATCAACAGACAATACACAATATATTTTTATTCTTGGGTAATAACATTTTTGATCATATTAGAACAGAACCATACTTTGTGTTCAACCTGGTGATTCTAAATCATCAGAAGTACTGGGACACTATGGGTTTCAGTACATTTCAGTGTAGAAATAAATGTAGAAAAACCCCAGTCTGAAATCACACCCAGAATCCAAAAGCTATAAGAGAGCAAGCTATCTCACCGTGCACGTTCACCAGGCGTTCACCTGAGGAAAATGCTTAGAAAGATGAGCTTTAAATTCAATATATTAAGTGCTCCCACATTTGAGGAAGAAAACACTATCTGTTACTTTATCAAACATTTCTCAAATCCTGGCAAACAGTATAAATATATTTCCTGTATTCAAACACTGTAAGGATAATAGAATTAATCATGAGACTACAGTTTTTAAAAAAACTTGAAGCACTACATGATAGTACACAGAACCCATAAGTAAAAATGAATTACAAAGTAAAGTAAGTAAATAAACAAATTGTAAAGCTGTTGCTACTCACATGCATGCTCTTCCCCAACATTGTGCAGGGTTTTTACACAGTCAGTGAGCATATCCTCAGTCTTATTACAGCTCATCTTAAGAGCTGTTGTTGTTATATCCAGAGCTTAATATTACACAGGTAGCTATAGTGCATACAGTATATCATAGCAGTAGTATCACAGTAGAGTTAGATTGCATCTGAGTGTTGTCAGCATAACACTGGAACCAGTGTAAACATATTACAGTTCATATAAATTAAAACGATACATAATACATTTTTAAGTTTCCAATATCTTCTCACATACTGTATGAACTTTACTTGGTTCAGCTGATTTTTTACTTTAAATGTAAAAAAACAGTTACATTACAAATGTTTAAACCAAAATATTATGCAAGTGCAAAAATATTCTAAAAAAAACAAATGCGTTTTTTAGTAAATAATATTGAATTTAAACTGAAAGCATATAGAATTCAGAGATATTTTCAAGATGTAAACTGGGCTTTCTTTTTATGTTTCTCACCTTTTATATCTATAATCATAAATAATATACAGTAAGAACTTAAACATAAATCATGAAAGTGTGTAAATGTCAAATGTGTTCCTGTATTTCTTCAATGTTTATTATACTGTACATCAATAAGAGGTCAACATTCCATAACTCTTCCCAATAATATCAAACTCAGTTTTACCAATGTCATGGTCCACAGTGTGGCTGAGGAGTTTGTCAGCTTTATCATATTGCTTCAGTTTCATGAGAAGCTCTGCCAAATCATAACACAGGAAATCCTGCCCGCTGTTCTTCAATGCTGTTTCATAATATTTAATAGCCTTAAAAACACAATTGATGTTAAGGTATAGTAAAATTAGATAGGTGTGTATGGTAAATGACACTCTATCAGAAAATGCTGAGCTATTTTTAAAATGATTAAGAATGAAACATTGGAGTAAAACATTTAAAACTTTAAAAGTACAAATAACTTCATTGTAAAATTGTAAAGAAAAAGCTCCCACCAGAGTTCTCGACTAGGCTAAGTGGTATAGCAGTGATGGTAAAAGACTTTTTCCACAGTTTACACTCCAGGACTACAACCAGCACTGTATGCTACTTTAAGCAAACTGCTATCTGTATAACATATCAGAATTACAGAATATTTTCTGATTTTTTGTATTGTAAACAATACAGATAAATTGCTGTATTTCTTTTCTTAAGCAATATTTCACCATTTGTAATTAAGAAGAAACTAAAATCCATTAACCACTCAAACACAGAAATGTTTTAACGCTTTGCTTATTATACTTTTTAGCTTCGTGGAAGACCGTTTGACTTCTCTTTCATATGCGAGGCAATAAAGTTTGAAACATATTTTCAGCAATTCAGAATGGTAGTAGAATGACCACTCTGTTGCCTGATCTTGTCAGATATCAAGCAAGGTTAAGGTTTGGTCAGTGCTGGCATAGGAGGTCTATAAGAAAAACTAGGTTGCCGCTGTATTACTGGAGGACCTGAAGTTGACACCTTTTTTTCTGGAACAGAATTTCCAAATCCTAGGTAACGTGTGGATCTTTGCTCTACAGGGTGGCTGCGTTGGTACAGTATAAGATGTCAAAAAGAAGTCCAAACTACACTGTTCATAAGAGTAGGGATGTGAACCCTGAAGTGCTGAGTAAACTCCATTTTGACTTTGTGCTTTCACAACATATCCCCCTAAATACAACTGGTTTCATTTTTTTCACTTCTCCACTAGGGCTATATACTGGGGCTGATTGTGCATAATGGCTGCTTGTATCACACTAGAGATTGCAGTACTTCAGTGGACAATTAAGTGGATGCCCTTCTATGTCTGAAGTGCTTTGGTATCTTTATTGAGGAAAAGCTCCAGACAAATGCAGCCAAACCTTATTTGGTTCTACTGGAAAAGTTATAGTATTTTGCAAAAACGCAGAATTAACAGAGGTTGCAGATCCTGCACAGGAAAAATGTAGCAGATAAAGTGTTTACCTTACTGTATTGATGGGTTTTCACCAATGCTTGTCCTATCCTGCTTGCCAAGGTTGCATCTCTTGTGTTCTTCTGCAGTGCATCTTGATATATTTCAATTGCTTTTCCTGGCTAAAAAGTATAGGTGATGTTGTTCCATAGTACAAATCTTTAAATTTAATACACAATGTAAGCAACATAGCATAAGTAGCACACAATGTACAACATGTATCACATGTTGTATTACCTCTTGTATGTGCATATAAGCATCTCCAAGGAGAAGGCTGGTGTGGGATCCAGGCAATTCCTCACACAGTTCCCTACAATGGTAATTAATGATAATTGTTGAAACTTACTTGTCCAAAATTAACAGAATTCTGTGAGGATGTAGCAGTTTATAACATGTCAAAAGGGACCATAATAAGGCATACAAAACAGATAATAAAGCAATATCATCTGTACTGACAAAGCAAAGATAAAACATTCTGACACTGAAGCTGAAGTTGCAGGAATGTATTTATAGAAACACTGATATTACATCTAATTCTGTCCAAAAATATGTACCTGTTCTTGTGTTGGTATGGTACTCTTAAAATACCAGTTGGAAATCTAGCAATCACAGAAATATATTTTACTCTTCAGTTGCGCTTGACAAAGTAAATAAGAAAAATCATTATGTATTAAATACAAAATCCATATTTACTGGGGAACACTTCACCTACCTGTAACAGGCAATGTACAATTTTTTATCTTTGCGCTTATGAAGGTAAACTTTGGCCAGCTTCTCTTTGGCTTCAGTGTAATACTGCTGACTGGGTTTAATGTTTTGCAACAGAGTTAATGCAGCCTCTGTATCATCTTTAGCCAAAGCAAAGTCAACATTTGCAATTGTAACCCGGATCTCCTCAGGCGTTCCCGTAAAATGCACAATGGCATCTTGCATTATTTTTGTAGCTTCATGCTATGTAAAGAAGACACAAAAACATGAAATGGCTGGTTGGCATCCTTGGAAACATCTCAAAAGATCCTTGGATCAATTATCTCAAACTAATAATTGGGACAGATGGGTCAAATGGCCTACTGGCATTTTTAACCTTTCTTACATTCATATGACACAGAAAACCACATTTCTTTGTGAGCATGACAACAATTGTTTCAAGGACCCAAATTTTAAGTGAGCACTGCAAACATTATACAATTTTCTAACATAAACTGAAAAAAACCCCAGCAATTTCTTTTTTCATAGTCACAATCACATTACATGTAAACTTTCTAAAGATGAACTATCAGCTGCTATGGTTAAAACCTTCTGCGACAGACTTCATTTCCTTCACTGTATTCATCCAATCTTTTTTTTTAATCTTTTAAACTTGAAAGGTACTGTACTGTAGCTATTCAGCCTGGATGGCATGACGTACCATGAAGCAAAACTGAAAACTTTATGGAAGTGAAATTAAACATCCCTGTTTTAATCACTTCTTGAAACTAATGCCCTGGTTTCTTTCAAGAAATGCTTATATTTGACCCTTGGATCAATTATCCACTAACTATCATACAGTTTAGATGGGCCGAATAGCTTCAATTGATTTATAACCTTTTTTTATGTTCTTATGTTTACTTGCTCAGACAATTGGTGCCTAAGCTTCTCAGGTAACCAGCATGCAGAATAAATTCTACATGCAGAATAAATTCAAACCATATTTTGTCCCTGTTTAAATCAAAAGGAATGGCACCATGAGCGAGCATTAGTGGAGTGGCACCATGATGTGGGACCCTGGTTTTAATTCCAGCCCTGAGGTGCTATCTACTGTATGAAGAGTTTGTATGTTCTCCCTGAGTTCACATGGGTTTCCTCCTGGTGTTCCTCTTTGCTCTCACAGTCCAGAGCTATACTTGTAGTTTAACTAGCTTCTCGGAAAATTGGTCCTGATGTGAGTGTGTGCATGTCTGCCCTTTGCTAGACTGCATCCTATCCAGGATGTGAGCAGCCTGCCGACCGCTGCTTACCAGGACAGGCTCCAGCTCTCCCATGACCCTGAATTGGAACAAGTGGTTAGAAAAAGGATAGATTGATGGCACCATGAGTAACTAGCTAAGATGGTAACAGTGCTCAGTTTCTTATTTAAGGTGTGCTGGCTGAGAATCATGTAACTGGAGGTTTTATTTTGAAAAGAAGTATGGTCTTTTGTATACCTGCTCCCCATTCAAACGCAGACCCTCAGCCAGCTCCAGGTAAACAGATACTCGATCACCAATGCTGATGGTGGTGTCTTTCTCCTTTGTACCTCTCCTGATTCCGGGCAGACTCATTATCATCTTCAAGGACTGGATGGCTTCTGGAAGGTTGCCTGTCTCCTTCAGGGCTCTGGCTTTGATAAGGTGGTACAGAGGAAACTCCCTAACCTATCAAACAGAAAGGTATACAGCTGCTCATAGGTAATCAATACAAACTCATAACAAATTCAAAAGACGCTTGTAAACACATTAAAACTGCTAAGAACATTAGATCTTTAAGTGATAATAAACTAAGGTACATTGATAAAAACTTCTCAGGCCACAGCCATTACTAGCCAGACACCTATGACATGGTCAACTTTATGACTTAAGTACTCTTTCTCCCAAAGCTTGTTCAAATGGCCTTATTAAACCTATGTGGTGAACTCATAGTCCATCTTTGAAAATGATTTAAATAAATCTGCCATCTTAAAGGCTCTCTTACAGGAATGGGCTTAAGTTCAATGATTATAAATACTAAAATCAAAACACATCTAAAGAGTAAAACACAAACTGCTTTCTTTAGTCAATAAAACAAAAATTGGCCAGGTTAATATTCCATTTCCTTGTATCTGTCTAAGAGGTACTAGACTCCCAATAGGTTCAGAAAGTAAAAAAAATAGTTTAGCCCTCCAGTTGATCTCTGATGCCCAAGTATAGCTAGTCTGAGCTTGGCGCTTGTCATTAGATGACTGTTTTTAAGCAGTGGTGCATAACTGGCCAAGCACACAAAATTACTTTTAAATTACATCAAAGTTACAATTTGAAAGGGATTCATTTTAAAAATAAACAGAAAGTCTGAGGTAATTAATTTTGAAAATGAATCAGCTACAGTGATATATGTCGCATTTGTGTTCAGTTACTACTGTATGCAAAGCAGTGCATTTCCTCTAATAGAGTCCACCCGTTGATTTAATTCAATACTTATAATTCTGAGTTTTGAGTAAACAGAATATGCTTGATTTACAGTGTTGTAAATGAGAACTCCATCCATACTACAATTGCTGCTAACTTAGCTGCAAGTTCTGTGGGACTTTTAGTGTGGAAGATGGTAGAGGTAGATGACTGGGCAGAACACATTTTATAGGGGAGCTTGCATTGTGCAATACTGAAATAATTTCAGATTTTAAAGTATTGACTATGTGAAATAGCCTCATTCATTTCCCATTGCTTGTGTACTTGAGACTCGTATAAAACTGTTCATTCTTAATATTTATTTCCTATGTCCATGATGTTAAAATGAAAGCTGCTTGGCAATTTTAGATACACTTTCTAAAACATCAATATTTTTGTAAAAATTAGACTTATTAGACTGCAACTAGAACTGTAAAACATGCCTAAATGATATATGTTGCAACAATTGCAACAATCCTGAATGTGTATTTCATAGAAAAGACACTTATCAGACTTATCAGTATATTTATAAGATACACAAAGCACGGATGGGTATTTGAAAATTTTATTGTGCCAAATTAAAAGGATTATTATTTTTGATACAGTTTCTCAGTAGTACTTTGTACCACGATGAAGTGGAAATGTTTTCTTTACCTGAAAGTTATGGCTGAGCCCAGTCTCTAGGGACTGGAAACACTTTTTGTAATCCTCCAGACAGAGGTAAACTTGAGCCTGCAGAAGGTGCACGTCGGCAATCGTGGGATCCAGTTCCTGACAGCGGGTCAGGAAGCCATGGGCTGCAGTCAAGTCACCTGTAAAAAAAAAAGACTTTTTCATATGCTATTTTAGCTCTTCTGTTTGCATTGATTTATTTCCTTATCTTCCAGTCTTCCTATTTACAGTACATTTAATTACTGTAGTAAGTGAAGCCATTTAAGATGGGAATGGACAAGTTGTCAAATAGCAACATCTTATTGTTGTTATTATTATAAATAAATAAGTTTATATAAATACAAACAAACATCCATATATTTTCTAACTGCCTTATCCAATAGAGGGTTGCAGGGAAGCAGGAGCCTATCCCAGCAAGAAATAGAAATAAGGCAGGATATACCCTGAATGTGATGCCAGTCCTTCCCAGGGCAAACATACGTTTAGATATTTATTTATAATATAATAATCTTTGTGTACCTAAATCTCTCTTTCATGCAGGACCTAGGCAGCGGTCTCTTTTGCCTTTGACTTAAATCTGATTTTGCCTAAGTGCACTATATGGAGAACATAACCACAAGTTTCTATCAAGAGTAGCTCAATAATTAAATAGTTAATACCAATAGGAGCAATTTACTTGTAACCAATAAGAAATCAAAATGTATTTACCTGCTGAAAACGAAATAGATTAAAGGCAAACATACCACATACTACTTGCCAGTTGTTGAATTATTTTTCAACTTATATTATATTACAACTGCAGCTCAAAAATGTAGGTTTGAAAAAATCCGTAATATAAGCAATGACTATCTATACAAAAACTGATATTCTGTGCAAAAAGCACAGAAACCTCACAGTCTTCATACCTGAGAAGAACTTAACTTTGGCCATGAGATAGACAGCAGGTAATATGCCAGGGGCAGTTTTAACCACAGGATCTAAGATCATAGCCGAGTGCTTCAACACAAAGGACAGGGCCTGACCCGGGGACCGGGGCTGTGAAGGAACAAGAAGACAAAGTGAATGATCATGAAATCAATTCACTACTTCTGTTAAGCAGAACATACACATAAAATGCAATATATCCTGTCCCATCACAACATTTGAAAATCCTACTAATACCAAGTGAGTAGACCTCAGTGATTACAGAGGGAGATCACTTTATTAGCCATATACAATTTCTTGCATTAGGAATTTCTTTTCACATACCCCCACTTGCTCTCCATGAGACACACACAAATGGGGAGGGAGAAGCTTAGAGTCAGAGCACAGGGTAAGCCATTTATACAGCACCCCTGGATCAGTCGGGGGTAAAAGGCCTTGCTTAGAGGCCAGATTCCTCTGCCAGCCATGGGATTTGAACCAGCAACCTTCCAGCCACAGGCACAGATCCTAAGCCACAGAGCCACATCTCCGCCCCAGCAGACAGCAGCTTGTATTACACTAGTTAAAGATGTCCATCTAGCTATAGGCCCACACAGTCCTCAGCAATATAAGATGTGTGCAGTGGTTAAATAACTGAGCTGAGCCGCCTGTAGGTGTTTGTTTTATTTGCCAATAACTAATTGCAGACCCTTATGGCTGAATTAACATATAAGCGTAGTCTGTTGTTACCTTCACTATTGTACCTGGCACATGTGTACCCAGACTCATACCCCTTGTGAGTCCACTAACATGAATATCTTTGCAGATTCTTTAGCATCCTTTGCAAAAGGCCTGATCTGCTTCATAGTCTTTGGGAATCATTGGGCATAAAATAAACTGGCCCCTTCTCATTACTTTTAACCAGATGGATGGGTCACTCCTATGGAACATAGGACTCTGAAGTATTTTTGTACGTCAAAACATATTTATATAAATGTATTATTAACTAGCTATAGACACTGATGGTTCTAACACATTATACTTTATACTGTATATGCAAAATTGTAGTTGTCTACTTAGATGGTCGTGACTCCTAATGTAATAAAATGGACAGAGCTAATTAATATTCATATTCCTACAATTTACAGCAACTACCTTGCTTTAAAATACAGAAAAATCTTGAAAGATGTTTATTTTAAGACACTGTAAGAGAGGGGTAAATTCGGGAAAGAAGGCAGTTCTTGTCAGAAATCACATTCTTCAGGTGAAAGGAATCGCCTAACCAATTTAAAAATTGAAAGTTATGTAGAAAACATTTAAAAAAAATAAAAATTACGTTTTCTACAAAAATTGTAGAAAACAATTTAAAACCAGGAAGCTGAGATTTCAGGCTGGCCTTTGACTTCCGCTGGCTATACCAGAGGAAAATGTAACAGAGAAGGAAGTGACCGACTGAGCTCAAGCCAAGGACATGAGGCATGAGTGCGTTTTTGAAAGTTTTTTGGAAAAGCTTTTTTTTTTAAAACTTTCATCTTTAATAGCTGTCCAGCTACAGTATGTACTGTAATAGAGAGCTAACTGAAGAACTCTAAGTCGAACTGAAACAGGAGGTTAGGGTTTTGGTTTGATTGTTTTTTATTATTTGCCCTCCATGGTGAATAAAGGAACACTGTTTTTACATTACAGCTGCATTTGTGTGTCTGTTTTGAATAGACCTGCCTATTTTAAATAGGCTTATGATACTTCATTCTCATGTGTCACAATACATCTATATGTTCATTTCGCTGCTGCATACATATTATGCAGAATTACACGTTTGTTACTTTAGAGACAGTTCAGCATCCTAGCATCATAAAATGATAAGAGCTGCTCCTTTTATAGAGTATTAGAACAGAAGTATCAGTTCACCTTCTAAATAAAATAGCTTACTTGGCTGGGACAGAAGGTCATGTGAGTTTTCACAATGTCGAAGAGGAATGCAGGGTTCAGCTTTTCGAAGTACTCCACTCCCAGGGGCAGGCCTTCAATGGCAGAGAAGTGAAGTTCTGTGGCCTCCTTCAGGAGAGCGCTCACTGCCTCTTGTCCTTCACCTTTCTTGGATGCCAGTATTGCTTCGAGGAGTGCCACTTCCTAACAGTCAATATCAGACTGAATTAACTCAATATCTGGAAGGGGAGTGTCAAAACTATTGCTTGCCATTACATTACATCTGTGTAGGTTTTCCATTGTTCTGTGTCATATTATACTAAGGCCCGAGGATTATAAATTATATTAAATTATTCATAAATTCTTATGTAATATATATGTGCACTTGTGTATCTGTGCGTGGAAACAAAACAATTTCTTAGGCCAGATGAAAGATGATGGTAAATTACCCCTGATTTTCCAATCGATTGCTGTACTTCCCTTAGAAATTCCAACTGCTGCTCTGCTTCCCCGAGTTGTCCTTCTAAAAGCTGGCATTTAATTACGCCTATGAGAATATTTTAGGATTATTATTGTAATTGTAATTTTTAACAATCATAAACACGTTATAAAGTTAGCAGAAAATCCTCACTGGATTAGAATTACATGTTTTTTTTCTCAGTCATTTGGTCTTTAAGTTTAAAAACTGCATAAAAGTAAATTTTGTCATCCCTGATTTCTCAGAAAAATGACAACTTTAAAAGTATTAACAGACATTGCAAAACAAATATGAAGGATGTGTGATGGAAAACAAAACGTACAAGTATCAACTGTTTATATTATGGAGATATTACTTTGTATAAAAATGTATAGTGATTTTAAGTTCCTAAGACAAATGTAGTTTTCATTTATAGAATGAAACAATATCTCCAAGTCAGAGTACATTGGAAACTCCAGAAATCATGTTCTAATTATTTATATAGATGAAAACGGATGTTTACCTTATTATGAAGTGCAAGGTAACGTCTGTAAAGTATTTTTTGAACACATTACCTGTCAGAGCAGGAACACTGCTTCCATCCAGGCTCATTGCTTGTGAGTACCACTTAACAGCCCCACGAACATTATCCTGTAGGACCAGCAGGTGACCGATTTCAGTGGCAGCATCAGCATCAACAGGAGCCATCCTGAAGCTACGTTCAGCTAATTCACACAGATTCTGGAGAATTTCTTTGTTGTTTCCACACTACAGCAAAACCAAAAATAAAAAAAAAACATTGTATGCTCTGCTATTTGTTATAAAATGTTGCATCCCTATGATAGGTGTTGAGTCCAAATGTGGAGTTTATTGCTCTATACTGGGCTCTTTCTCAGCATCTCAGGACAGGGCACAGCCTTTACAAAGTAATGGCATAGGGCTTCAAAGGAGAACTGAATTGGTCAACAATTTATAAATCACAGTTAGAAAGGTATGAAATAAAAAATAACTATCTCACCTTTTTCTTTGAGAATTCACCCATTATCTTTTTTACTTTTTTAAAACGATTTAGCTGTCATAAAGAAAAGTCGTATCTGATGATTTGTAACAATTCTTTAAACCTCTATCTTTGCAACAGTATTGTAGCTGCTAAAAGATGCCAGCCTGACTTAAATGATTAGTTCTGACACATTAAAATGTTATTTCATGTATTTTTCACTTCAGAGTAAATCATTGCATGTGATAATCTTAATTATTTAGCACATGATTTACATGCACACATTTCTGAAACTGGAACTGTTTATTGAAGTATAAAAATAAATAGGGGATGCTTACCACCCTGCTAATGGGTATTATTATATTGAGGCGAAGACTTGGATTGCAGGGTTCAGTGGTTTCTACTGCCCTAATAAGAAGTTGCACATATTCCGTTGCCTGGAACATTCAAAAGAAGGAGCCAGAGTTGAAGAGTCAAAAATGTCCATCATAATACTCAATATGCTACTCGATATGTATGTTACTATATTTTACCAAATTGCTATAGTACATATTATAATGTTCTGTATGATGTTAAAAAGAAAGGGCACAGCTATTGTTGAGATATATTTTAATATGTAATCTTTGAATGTTTGCTATATTATTGAAAGAAAGGATACAAAGTAGTCATTTGGCCTAACTAACACATTTGGTTGCTAGTAGATATCTGATGCAAAGATTCATCCAGTCATCTTGTCTTGTTATTTCTATAATGAAGCCTGGACATACAGTTCAATAACATGGCTGAATAGCTTGTTCCATAATCCTATTAATCTTTATGAACAAAGTGGTCCACTGCACAAATTTAAATGTAGTTCCTCATGTGTCATAGCCATAGTGGTAGTAAGGTAATAATTATGTTTATTCTTATTTACTTGCGTTCTTTGGTTTAATGAAATCTAAAAAAAATTACCTTTGTTACATCTCCTTCCTTGGCTAAAGCATGCATTGTCATTATCTGAAGAGCTTTCACATTACTTTTGTCTCTCTGAAGAATTCTGTACAAATGCAATTGGAAATAAGTGATTACAGAAAAATGAAACTTGTGTCGAGAAATATTATAGCTCAATATTACACCTACATAAATATGAAACTTAATACTTGGTTTCCAGTTGTCAAAATTGACAGATTGCCAATTCACTATCAGAAATAAATTAGCACCTAACATTTACAAACACAAAAGCATGTCCACTGTCATCTAATGGAATTCATGTGACAACCCCTTGCTGTGAACTGAGCCAAGAGCAGTCCAACACACTGTGAAAGAAATTATGTTTTTGTCCAGGCAGTGTTGGTCAACAAGTTCACATACTGTATAAAGTGATTTTTTAATACTTAAAACTGATTTAAATTGTAAGGCGTAAATATACTATTGTCAAACTATACTGAGAGTTAGTCACAATTACATATATACCCTTCGGATGAACTAATGCTCAAAAGAAGTCAAGCTGTTTGTATAAGGACTTTGGCTTTTATATTGTAGTATTAAAGTAGCAATACATTAATTTAGGAACAGATAATGGGTTTATTCCACGCTGAAAAGAAAAGAAAGGAAACACAACGTTTCAGTTGTGAACTAATATATTAACTTAGATGTTCTTTAAATCTGTAGTTACAATACACAGGAACTGGTTAATGAATAATTAAAATAATTGTATTTCTCAGATCACCTAATCATTAGATTTGTGTTCTGCAATATTTAACTAACCTATGTGCTGTTTCCATCGCTTGATCCCAGTCCTGTTGAGCTAGGAACAGAGTCATCTTGATGATCAGTGCAGGCAAAAAATCAGGGTGGGATACAATTATTTGGTTCACATTTTCAATGGCTACTGTAAAATTCTGTTTTCTTACAAAATAATTTACCTGCAAAAGAAAATATTCACTGTTCATCCTATAGAAACATAAATGTATTATTACAGTATCAAGAAGACAACGATGAGACCTAAAATACTGTGTTTAGTAAAGAGAGATAAAAGGTTTGTATGTGATAAACACAGATAGGGAGAAGAATACGCTTGTTAATATAATTTCTAAGAAAGCAAATTGTTTAGAAAGTAAAATAAGCAAAGGGTCTTATTCTAAGACCATGTTGATTTATTACTGGGGTCCCATTTACTGAAATATACATCTTTACATCTGTATCTCTTGTATCCCATGTCACTAGTGTAAAAACTCACTAGTCCAACCCAACAGATAATATGAGTAGGGCAGAACAGACCTTAAATAGGATACCAGTCTTATAAAAATATTCATGAGTGAATGAAAACAAACACCACATCACATGATTATCATACACTACCTTTCCCATTAAGCCTAGCACATTTTTCGATTCCTGGACTCCTTCATCAAAATATTTGATAGATATATTTCTGTTATATTCCTTATCAGAACTTAGTTCTATCCAGCCTTTAAGTATCAGACCCTGGTCAGAATAAAGGAAAAAACAAAATATTCAATATTCAAAAAACAAAATGTAAAAGAGTCGGAGAACCAAAGATTTTAGTGATATTTTGATTTTCTTTTAAAACACAGTCTAGCTAATTAACAAATGATTCAATGTTGTTAATACCACAAGGTTTGAGTCAATTGATTATTATGTAACTTAACATCTGGCATCTGTATGTGATCTGTATGTTTAAATAGTTAGGGTCTTTTTGCAAACTACAATCAATTTCTCTGCTGTTAGAGATATCACTTTACATTATATGTAATGTACAAACCTCTTTTGTAGAACCAGATATCTTAAGCATTCTGTCGATGTAGTCTTTAGCCTTGTGACCGCGCCCAAGAACCCACAGAAACATTCCAGCATAATAAAGGGCTTTTTCTCCTGCTGATTTTCGGTCTGTTTTCAGTTTGGTCTCCAACTCCACAAGAGCCTCTCGATCTTTACACAGTAGTAAGATATCAAAGCTTTAGTTTCTACCATTAATTCACAATGCTTTGAATATCCTTCTAATGAAATTTTAAGAAGTGAGCTTTCTTTAAGATACATATGTACAGTTTATAAGTTGTTGTAACTATCTTAAGTGAGCCTTTGAGTTTAGTATCAATTAAAAAATTTATTAGGGATTTCATTTAACATTCAGGTTTTGTAAATCTTCCAGAATTATTCCCAAACCAGGGCAATATAACAATTTCAAAGTAAATCTCACATAAATGTTAATGTATGTTTTAAATTCTGCTGCTAGCACTAGCACAATCTACAAACTAAATTTGTTTCCAAACGGTTTCTGGAATAGCCAAAATGGTGGTCTACAATTCAATTAAACCCTTAACTCTATTCACAAAAGAACATAGCTCTAATATCACTGACAACTGATATGTAACCTTGCTGCTATCGCTTCAGTAGCTAAAATGACAACTTTTACCTTTAGAGTAAAGCAAATTCTAGTCTGAATTTTATTCCTTGGATCCTTGGATCATTACTAGAAACCATACAAGCTAGATAAGCTTCTCATTTCACTTTGTAAATTTTCTAATGTTTTTTATTCAGCTCAGATGCAGTTTATTCATATAAACATGATAAAAGTAGCCTCGATGGTTTTTCAAACTAAAGAAAACCAAAACTTATTCTGTGTATAGTACCATACTAAAATAAGGTCTGAATTCCATTTAAGAGTAGACTTGGCTAATACTTAAGTTGAATTGCTGGTATTGGGCAACTGAAGAATTTCATATATTGTATATACAAGAAAGATATGTGTTCAAGTACACTTTCTGTTTCTGCTTTGATGCCAGTTATATAGACTTCTATGATTCTCATAACTATTTTTAGGTTTCTTAAAAACACGACACACATAACCCCATTTTTTTAAATCACATTTGTAGAAACCATTCACATTGACGAATTTCTGTAGTATGATAGATAAAAAGCTAAACAAAAACAAGAGCATGTGAAATGCCTAAAATAGGACATTAATTATCAATATACAAATTGTTGTTTTATGCCAGATCTTCCCAACACTAATCCTGCAGTGTTTATAGATAACTTTAAATCAGCAGCATTTGAAGAGCTGGGGATAACTGTTAAAATGCTCCAGTTAAGCCAATAATAAGTTCAATAACAGCTGAGTTGGAATGAAACTTCCAGGACTATAAGCCCTCCAGGGGTTAGGTTTGGGAACTGCTGCTTTATGTTCAGTCACATAAAAAAGCACAGTGACGATTAACAATTTCCACATTACTTGCTGTAATTTAACTTCTTTGGTTGAAACTGAGTTGAGAAGGTAGCATTCAGAATTCTTTACATCAGTTTATCTATCAAATAAGCTATTTTTAATAACTTTAACTGTACTGAAGCATGATGAAAGGTACTTCAAGTGAAAATGTATTAATATACATACATGTATATATACATGTATTAATTTTTACATACAGTAACTTATGAACTAAAACTCTGGACTGGTACTTACTGTGTAAAATTAAATTCAGTATTACTGATAGTCCCCTTGAAAAGAATACACTACAAAAAAATCATTATGTAGACTTGAGAATAGATATGTCATAATTTTATTTTAAAACTGTAACTGACATTTCACTCAAATATAAAAATATCTAAAGGATGTTGAGGTACTTACCGACAGTTTTGCTTTGTTTATGTGCATAGATAAGTGCCATAATACAACAAAGGGAAACATCCTGTTTGTCTTTCACTTGCTCGAGATCCCTGATTGCTTCTTGAACACGACCTGCGGTCAGGTAGGTGCAAAGATTTCAACATCTCAATATTCTAAAATACATACAGTGCTGCTTGAAAGTATGTGTTTCACAGAAATTATATAATTATTAATTATATTTTTTATATATCTATAATTATAATTGTAAAATATATATAATTATATAATTATCCCTGTTAAACCATTCTTTGGTAGATTCCTTGGAATTTTCATGTTGGAGGTCCCATTTTTGTCTCAGCTTCAGCTCATGAGCATACAGTAGCGCCATATACTGTCCTCCAGAATATGTTGGTATGACTAAGAATTCATAGTTCCCTCTATGATGGTGAGTCTTCCAGGTCCATGGGCAGAAGAGCAGTCCAAAACCATGATGCTCCCACCACAATGCACCACCATGCTCATCAGTGGGGATAAGGTTATTTTGGTGATAGATTTTTGTCAAACATGGTGTTTCTTGTTGTGGCCACAAAGAACAAATTTAGACTCATCTGCCCAGAGAAAGTTTTTCCAAAATCTACAGGATCTTCGACATGGTCTTTTGGAAATTAAAGATGAGCAGCAATGTCCTTTTTTGAGAGCAAAGGTCTTCTCCTGGCTACCCTCCCATGAATACCATTGCTATTCAGATGGTATTGTATTGTTGAAGTATGAACATGGATCAGCAAGATAGGCCCGGAGATCCTTGGATGTGGTTCTGGGATTCTTTTGGACATCCTGTATAAGTTTTCTTGTTGCTCAGTGAGATCTAGCTAAAGTGAATGTGGTCTTAAAGTTTCTCCATTGTAAAATAGTTTTACAGTAGACTGATGAATTCCAAAATGTTTTGCTACGGTTTTATGACTCTCCCAAGACTGATGAGAACTTACAACAATCTTTCTGAGGTTGACTGAGGTCTCTTTAGATCGTAGCATGGTGTAATACACTTACCTGACCTACTATTTATTCACTGACAGAATAAGGTTAGTGTAGGACAGCAGAGTGGCACAGAGGAAACATGCTGGGCCCATAACCCAGAGGTTGAACCATCCTTTGCTATGTATGTTTTATGCATGATTGATAAGAACACCATCATGTTAATGAAGTGCATTAAAACTAACCTTATTCTGTTCACACCAATGTGTTTTTTTTTGCTCATGCCTGTGCTGACTTTATATTTAAGTTGTATGTTATTTAACTTTGTTTTTGTTGCTGCTGCTGTTCCATGTTTAAGTTTGGCATTTCCTTAATGTCTTTGTATTGGAGCATACATGCAAAATAAGCATTTAATTGCACTTGTGCGTATGGCAATTGAATTGAACTGAACTGAACTTGTATGGGTAAGACCACATTCTACATTTTTACCTTTATATAATAAGAGGACGTCCCAGACTTTGTCCTGGTGATTGGCCCTTTGAGTGGTTAACTTGGTATCCAATTATTTAACACCAGCTTAAACCTACCTCTTTGACTGTGCTAATGAACCTTGTGGTTCACTTACTTTTGAACATGCACTAATTCTTATTTACCTATTTTTCTATTGCATGCATCAATTTATCTAAATATTAGATAGAATTTCTGGATACAAACAATTTCTTTTATAAAATTAAGGACATTGCCCATTGTGCAATTTGATATGGTACAAAACACAGTAGTATATTAAATATGCTAATTTGGGACTTTGTTTTTTCAGAGTAACCTAATCATTCATTTCAGTGTTCTAATACAGATAGTTTATACCGGGAAAAGAGAACTTAAATCCACTAAGCAATCTAGATTTAAGCACATGCTTTTTAGAGCTATAATTTGTACACAAAATCCTCTGGAATTTGAAAGGCAGGAACTCATGGCACATTGGTAAAAACCGAGAAGAGGTTTATAAAACTGTTTGTGCATGTATAAAATGGGTAATCCTCCACTAATATTTTGGCAGTTCTTGATGTTACAGACTCTAGCTATGGTGTCATCCAAATGTATTGAGATAGCAAATTTGTCTTTGCTGTACAGTTAAGCATTTTGTATGTGTGATCATCAGATAAATATGAATGGTAGATACAGTATATTATATGCTGTATATATTTATTTTGGGGTAATCATACATTTAACAAATTAGTATAAAATACATTTTGTGTTCAAAAACTGATTTTTAATTATTAAGTTTTGGGACTTAATCACTTAAAGTAAATTTCAGACTGCAAATATGTAATGTAAATACCTGGGTGCATATACATTTGAATCAATAACTACACAACGTCAGTGATTCATTGAGCTCTTCAAACTCTATGTAATCATTTGGGATGTTCTGCAATAGACATTTTAGTCCTTGCCTACTCTAAGAGTGATGATGACAGTCATACACATTTTTCTTACAGTGTAATTTTATGGGTTTTAATACAATCACAATGGAAACAGTGTTACATTGTTTACAGTTACCTTCCATTAAGATTCCGTAGCCTTTGAAAAACAGGAGTAATGGGTCGTTGTTGTAGGTTTTTAAATATTCGCTTGCGACTTGAATAACGTGATGGTAATACTTCTCCCGGCAATAGTAAGTTAAGGATGCCTGGAAAAATACAGAGCAGATCGAAACAATTAAAACAACGTTCTCGAGTAATAATAATTACGAAATTTTACGATATTACCATATTACTATAATAACGAAAGCTACATTTTCTATAAACGAAAGAAAGTGTCTGAGTTATCCATATAATACACCCGGCAATTTTGTACACTTTACTGTGTAAATACTGAAATTTCAGATATGGAAAGTATAATCGTTATCGTTATTGCTAATGCCGTTTCGTTATTTGTATTCTTACAGAAACCTGACTTTCTTCAAATTGGACAGGTGTGTCTTTTACGAATAAAATCAGCACTACCGCTCTGCAAGTTTTCTTTAAAACATACCAAACATGTTGGATCTGATTCGGCCATTTTCACTGAAAACTTCAGTACTTAATGTATCGTAGCACCGCAGATTATCTGTGAATTTTCAGCTTTGATTTCTCTTTTTGCACAAGGATCCAGCAAGACGCTTTATTGCTCCGCTGCTCTGTCAGTGGCTTCGGCGTCTCTGGTTGCTACACAACCCCGTTGCGCCAGGCAACAACCAAGGCAAAAACAATCGATTTCTGTGTATTAGCTGGGTATTTTCTTACCTGCACATTAAGAAAACAATAAACAACAACACCGAATCTGTAAAGAAACAAAACGTGATCTGTCATTTAATTGTTTTATAAATTCAGGCTATTTAAATAAAAAGGCTTTTTGTATAATCGTATTAAGTTGCGAATAATAATATTAAAGTCACTACATACCCATTTACGTTTACGACAAAGTTAAACGGATATAGTGAGGCCATTTTTACTAAACGAAGACAGTAAAATATGTCCAAAAGAGCATTTATATGTGAGGCAGCCCGCTTGAAAATTCTTAGTAGGATTTTAAAAAGTGCTTTGATGGTAGTTCGATGTTATCGTCTTTTCTTTGCAGAAGCCTGCCGGAATCAGTTTAAACCAGTATGGCTACGGAGTGACGGATCTGTCGGTCTTATCTCTTTCCTGACATAAATATATACTTTAAAACAATAATATAAAGATATGGGGTTATCGCAAAGCTCGGATGTGCCTGAGGGAGGAACAGAAGGCTATCACGTACATGGGGTACAGAACTGCTCTTTGCAAACAGAATTGTTTAATTCAGCACAATTAACTTCGGACTCTTTTCCGAGTACAGTGGTGTCTTGTTTAGGCCTGCCCACTCACAATCATTTGATGAGGTGGCACTTGCTTTCATAATACCATAATTTCGTATTATGTTATTGTCATAACCACGACATTTATGACAGTGAAAATTAAATACAGCAAATAAAAATTCATTTTATCATTTCATTTTTCATTTTCGCAAATTCTTAAAACGCGTTTTGGCCCTCAGCAAATTAATCATGCATTCCAGGCAGACAGTGCAGTGGAAAATTCTGTTTTAGCAATCGATCTCGTGGATTATTCGTTCATGTAGTATTCATTAGTTTCTCTGCATTTTAATTAATTCACACCACATACAGTACATTCAATTCTTACAGTCTCTTCCATGTTTGTACAGTAGTCTGCAATTTGGTACAATGAATTAATACACATTTACGATGGAATGTGCCTTTATCTAATGGAAGTGGTACATAGAACATACAATATATTATGTTATTATCCGAATTCCAAATTACATAGTTTAAAACTTTTAAGTGTCGGAAGATATCATACATGCAAATGTACAGTTAAAACGCATCTTATTAGATGAACCGTACATAGTGTGGTTGGTGATTTCGTATATGTGAAATGCTTCCCAATGTATGATACAGGAGCAATTAAAACACTTTGTGGAGCTTTACATTTAAATAAAAATATTTTTGCTTTGCTTAAAAGTCAGAAAACATTTTTCGTCTTAGTTTTGGGTTTCTGTATATGTAAAATTAACTCAGTGATATATTTTTGCATTGTTAGGTTCAGGAAAATTCGCCATCAGAGAAAGCAGGGCTGGAACCGTTTTTTGATTTTATCGTTTCAATAGGAAATACAAGACTGGTAAGTATGCAGACTTGCTAAGGTTTGACGCGACAGTGACACCTTCAATGACTCCAGATCAAGAAAATGGATGTGTGTTAGTATTCCTGTGCCATTCCTCTTATTTTTGCACACTTTTCACTTTAGATGGAAGCAGGTGTATGATGTAATACTGTGTAAGACCCAGGTAGTCAGAAACTATAGTGTACTGAATTAGCTGTACCACTAGTTCTCTCTTCACAAATAGGTAGTCTTTCAAAAGTTATTTTATGCTTTATTGGAGTTTTGTAATTGGTAGAAATTTTCAGTGAGCTTTTTAGCATAAAGAATGACCTGCCGGAAAGAGGATGAACATAAAAAGTTTAAGAATGTACAGAAATATATTTAATAGAATTGGAATTTGGATCTTCAAAACATGCTTGAATCAGATTTGTGCACCTGTTTATGAGCATAAGGACATTTACAGATGATAAGAGGCAATTTAGCAAATGTAGCTCAATTGGTTTAGTTTAAGTAAAACATTGCAGAAGAGCAGGACAGTTCAGAAGAGCAGCAGAACTGTTAAGGTTTCTATGAGAAGTGTTTATAACGATGATATGGCCAGCAGCCATATCACCCTGCAGCTCACAACTGGCAACCCACTGAAGCCTAAGCAGGTGTGAGCCTGGTCAGTACCTGGATGGGAGACCTCCTGGGAAAAACTAAGGTTGCTGGTGGAAGAGGTGTTAGTGGCACTAGTAGAGGGCGCTCACACTGCGGTCTATGTGGGTCCTAATGCTCCAGTATAGTGACAGAGACACTATACTGTAAAAAAAAAGTCACTGCCCTTCGGATGAGATGTAAAACCCAGGTCCTAACTCTCTGTGGTCATCAAAAATCCCAGGGTGTTTTTCAAAAAGAGTAGGGGTCTTGACCCCAGTGTCGTGGCCAAATTTAACCCTCACTTTTACAAATCTTGGCCTCCTAATACTTCCCATCTATCAAGTGGCTTTACTTCTCTGCTCTATTCCACTCTTGATAGCTGATGTGTGGTGAGTGTATTATGTGCACTTTGGCTGGTGTTGCATTATCTAGGTAGGTGCTACACATTGGTGTTGGTGGAGGGGAGTCCCCATTACCTGTAAAGCGCTATAGAAAGCACTATAGAAATGTAAGGTTTATTTATGATTATTATTCATAAATGTGTTTAGGCTTAACAATGTTTTCTCTTGTTTAAGTCTTGTTTTTACTGTTTTGCCTTTAGAACAAGGAGAATGACATGTTGAAAGATCTGCTGAAAGCAAACGTTGAAAAGCCAGTGAAGCTTGAAGTGTTCAGCATTAAAGCCATGAAAATGCGAGAGATCGAAGTTGTTCCCAGTAACATGTGGGGTGGACAGGGACTGCTCGGGGCCAGTGTCAGGTTTTGCAGCTTCCAAGGAGCTAATGAAAATGTTTGGCATGTTCTGGTGAGCAGAGTTGTGCAATTAGTGGTGTTTTTTTCATTAAAAGGTCTATCAGCTGAATTGCTTAAAGAAATGTAGATTATTATTGTTATATTGTTATCTAGTAATATATCATTTAAATCAGGGATCTCAAAGGGCATAATCTCTGTTGTTTTTTATTTCTTAACTCGAGCAGACAATTGAACAATTAACCTAATTATTTTCTTAGACGTACTGTATATGGGATGTTACTTATGGTGTTCTACAGTTGATTACTCAAAACACTTCTTTAAAGGTACAGTTATGTGTACTTCTTAGTTTTTTCTTATGCATTTCATTAAATAATTAGACCGAGAGGTCAGGTTTCAACAAAAAGCAGAGGTCACTAGGCCCTACAGGAACTGCGTTGGACACCCCTGCTTTAAATGCTTAGAGAGATATGGAAAGTACAGTGCATTTTAAGTTATACATTTGAATGACTTTTAATTAGTTATCTATAGGGTGTAGAAATGGAAGGTATGTTCTGTTTTTGAAAAAGAAATGTTGAATACAATTAATGAATCTTTTACCCCTAATGCCATCTGCAGTTCTCATACACGAGCGAAGATTAAAATAAATGTAAAAAAATTTAGTGTTGGCAGCTTCTATTGTTTTAGTACAGCATTCACAATGTTTTTTTTCTGTTTTAAGTGAAATTCCTTTGTTCCACACAAGATTTCTTGACCCTTTTCCTATAATAATGTCATTTTGATGTGAGTTTGTTTGTGTGCAAAGATGTAGGTAGTGGAGAAAGGACTAGATATTGTGGTGGCCTCTCCTTGAAATTACAGAACTGAATAAACCATATTTCTTCATTTTAGGATATTGAACCTAATTCACCGGCAGCACTGGCTGGTCTCAGAGCACATACAGACTTCATAGTTGGAGCGGACCAAGTCTTACAGGATGTAAGTATTAATTTAAGAAATGTTCACGTTGCAGGCAGTCTCAGGGCAGACTTGGCTGGCTGTCGTTACTACTGCTAAAAGCATGATTCCCCAGTACCTTTCCTGGTGTCAGTGAGCCTTTTCTTTCTTTAAATTCCCTAAGTACAAAGCTCACTAGTGCACGTGTCCACAGTTATCGAAGGTTGGGGACCAGCAGAGGACGCCATCAACGTGCTGTTAAATCTGCCCTTAAATGGCACTATTTGATGGGGTTTTGGGGATCCTCTGTGGCTGGTTTGGGATGGAATTGCCACCAGGGCAGGGATGATGAATTAAGGAGAGGAGATAGGGGACTATTTACCCAATAGGGAGGGTTTTGGGGGATTGAGGGTGGGGGGGCATGTCTGAAAATGGGATTGTTGTTCTGTGTTATGCTGTTATGCTGTACTGTTCCCCCCAAAAAAAAACAATAATTCAAAAGGACCATTTATATGAAAGACAGAATGTCAAAGTAATAAAACATAGTAATAACACTATATAAGGCCATTAAAATCACAAAGCAAATAAACACCAGATTTTTCTGTGGCTTCAAACAACTCAGGCATTGAATCAAACTGTTGGAGGTGTGTTGAATGAGTTTATTTTGTGTTTCAGTCAGAAGATTTCTTTTCTCTGATCGAGTCCCACGAGGGAAAGCCCCTGAAGCTGCTGGCTTACAACACCGAGACTGACAGGTGCAGAGAGGTGGTGGTCATCCCCAATGGAGCCTGGGGTGGAGAAGGAAGGTAATTTAGCACTATTATCAAAACTAACCTAATGAGTCTCATTTTGTGCACTAATCAATGTAAATTCATCCTTAATGCACAGTGAAACTAATAATGTATGTAGTATATAAACAACAGTAATATGTACTGTTTTATTCTGATACAGATATAATTGTCCCTTTGAGTCTTGTGTTTAAGGTGTAATATTTTGTCCTCTTTGCAGTCTAGGCTGTGGTATAGGTTATGGTTACCTGCATCGGATCCCTTGTCATCTTGTCGTGCCAAAGAAAACTGACATTATGCAACCATCTCCACTGCCCGAAAAAAATCCCACTTCAGAAGTACCAAGTAACGGCTACACTGAGGTAGAGTAGAGAGCCTTTCCAAGTTATCTTTTTATTATGACAGAGGCTTATTACCATTGGGTTACTGTGTAGCTGAATGTTTCATGTGTATTTATGTAGCCGGTAATTTTCAATTTAAATGGGAATTCCAGTCCCAATTTCTCAGACTGGTTATTAAGTCTTGGTAACAAAATAAATTCACTGATGTTATAGAAAAAAACGACAAATTTCAAATTAAGTACAAAATTGTGAACTTTGTGAAAGTACTGTTGAGTCCCCAAGTTGTCGCAAACTTGCATTTGAGTTCCCAAGACTTGCAACATGATGTGGCCCTTTCTGCTCACTAATCTACACAATGACTAATGTAATAACGTGTGCGAGAGAATAAATACAGGGTGTGCAGCAAACATTTCACAGCAGAAATGTTCTAGCATGACCTGCCTGCAGAGTTAAGAAGTTAGTAGTATTTTTAGATCCAAACCGCCTTGAAACGAAAACAATATTTCTATTGGACTAAAAGAGACGGAGGCTTGTGTATACTTGTTTACAGTGTCATAGTGCCGCACACAGCACCAGACGTTTTGTTGCCTCATTTTAGATTGCAGAAAGTTTTTTTAGGCATTGTAGAGAATCAAATTTACATAGAGCCAGAACTCTAAGTGTAATGAAGTCATGCCTGATGTAACTCTTTTGAATTTAGTTTGGATTTCTGCTCATGTCTCCTGGTCCTGCTCTGTATGTTGAGTGAGAAGTAAGCTAATTATTTGATAGACACTGCCACTCCTTTTCTGTTGCTAGGAGCACTTCAAATTTTGTTTGTTGTAATCATTTTAGCCGGTCAACATGACATGACTTAAAATAATAAAGCTGTTGCTGATTTCTCTTCTTTGGCATGTGCGACACAGTGTTGAGTAGTTGAATACTGGCTGGTAGTGTGGAGAACTAATCTTGATTTTGTTTCACTGGAGACTTATATGGTGGCTCTGTGGCTAAGGATCTGTGCCTGTGGCTGGAAGGTTGCTGGTTCAAATTCCGCGACCAGCAGAGTAATCCTATTCTGCTGCACTGAGCAAGGCCCTTAACCCCAACTGCTCCAGGGGTGCTGTGTAAATGGCTGACCCTGTGCTCTTACCCCAAGCTTCTCTCTCCCTCCCTGTCTGTGTGTCTCATGGAGAGCAAGCTAAAGTGTGAAATCATCACTTTTTGAAAAAATAGTATTTATAAATATGTGGGTGTGACTGTAGGGGGCATTTTGTCTTGTAAATTAGCATCAAGATTTTTATTTTCACATTAAGACAGCACTCCCCTGTATCATAACAATCATAACTTTGTATTAATGTATGCCCATGAACATGTACATAGTGCTTGAATATGACTTTGAATATTCCATTGTTCAATTCACACCAGGTTCCACTAGTGGCTCCTTCAGTTCAGGACAACACTGAGGAGGCCCAGAGCCTGGGTCAGCAGGCCTTCGGCCGACCTATAGAGGACTCTCCACTGCCTCCCCCTATTCAGCGGGTCATGGATCCAGGTACAATCATGTGCATTCAGACACTACTCAAAAACTGCGTTGTAGCAAAAACATTTCTGATAAGCGTTTGGTGTAAAATAAAGCATATTCTGTGATCTTGTAGGTTAGAGACACAAGTGATTATGATCTCACCCAAAGATAAATATAGATAACACTAACTTTATTTTATATCAAACCTTTAAAAGCAATCATCTCAAACTATTTTTCAGTATATAAAAGACCACAGTTTCAGAAGAAAGCAAGACACTTGAAAAGAATAAAGAATTGATGATTTATTATTTAGGGAAACTGATTAATTTTTCCTAAGCCAGTGAGAAAAACTGTTAGAATAAGGATTTTCTCTTTTCCTATAACTTAGGTTTTACAAATCTGCCTGAAGCCTCTGTATCGGAGCTCACAGATCTGAGCCAGATACTGGATTTGTCTCTCCCTGTCATTGATGCTTCAAAGACTTCCCTGTTAACGGAGTATACAGCAACCGTTCATAATGAAATTGCACCTGGTCTTGGTAAGTTAAGGAATGAAAAAATTTGAAACTATGAAGTTCTGGTCCATTTATGTGACATTTTGTAGCCAGTTCGGAAGACCTACAGACATTTTGTTTTAAATTTCTGAACATCTAAGTTATAAAGGATTAATAAGATATCTGGTTTATTCCCTGTTAGTACATTACTGCTAGTACATGTTTATTTTCGCTGCTGTTAAACTGTGTGCATTTTTATGTTTCTGCAGTTTCTGAGTTGCTGCCTTCACCTGTAGAAGTGTTGGAATCGGACCAGGAACCTAGCTGGGATTCCTCTTCTCTTCAGCCACCTGACTCGTTCACAGGGGACACTGTAACCGCTGAGGTTACAGGTACAGAATTCCCTGATGTCCAGAGCCTACCTGTGAATTCAGAGGATTCTCTTCAGCAAGACTTTATATCCCCAGAAACTACTGAGAGTGAACACCTAGAATCTTTACCACAGTAATAGGTCTCTGACAAAAGGGTTGACAAAGGGTTTTTTAGCTGCTGAGATTCTCGTCCAATTAAGATGCCTCCTGTTATACCAAATAAGACCAGCAACACAGTTTCCAGTGGAGCACAAAGCTCTATTAGAAATGTATCTTTTAAAGAGTGCTCTCTTTTACATAGGACCCTAGGCTAAAAATGAACCTATCACGATTAACATCTCTATAATGATGCATACTGTAGTTTGGATTAATATTTTACCAAATATAGAGAGGTTTAATTTCACACAAACATGCAGTTTTGCATCCCTTGATCCACAGTAAGTAAGCAAATCATGGATCTGCTTACTTAAAATTAAATCTAGGATTGGTGATAAGTTGGATCTCTGAATCTACTGCAATGTGTTCTAAGGTATTGGACCTCACCTTTTCAAACATCTGGAGATACTGTTAAGAAACTGTCTTGTCACTATAGGCCTACACAAAAGACCATAGAATCTAACAAATCTGCAAAATTAATTTAATCAAAAGTTTTTTTATATTATTATATATATTATTATATGTCACCTTTATGATTCCTCAAATTTTTTTGAGCACTTTATAAAAAGGCAGGAAGGCAGGCCCACAATATGATCTGAGTCATATTGATCTGGGAAGATCCATGAGAATTGGGGGTGCTAAAAAAAGTATAAGTTTGGCATTACACCATTAATCGAAGCACTGATGTTTTCCAGGTGTATATGGCATTGTGTTTTTTGGTATAAACAGAAGGCTGCAGGTGAATGCATTATTTTAAGCTTCATTGAACTAATGATAGAGTTTCCCTACTAGTTCTGCTTCCAGTACCTCGCACTAGCCAAACTCTGAACACTAATAAGAGACCTACTGACACTGAGTGCGAGATTCAATTCGGAGCAAGTGGAATAATCGTTTGATTCCATATTGGATGCTTCCATGGAAGGCTTGCATGTTCTCCCCATGTTCATGTGCTTGTTTGGTAGGAGCAGCAGTTTCTTCCCACCTTCCAAAGATTCTGACAGGCTACAGTAATTGGTGTCTCTAAATTGTCCATGTGTGCTTGTGCTCGTGCCCTGTGATAAACTCCTGTCCTGTCCAGGGAGTTGTCCCGCCTTCTGCTTCTGGAGTGGGCTCTGGGTTGTCATGACTCTTACCTGGTATAAGGCTTTCTGATAATAAGTGAAATTTTAATACGGAAGCATTCTGTATTTGCATTTTCTATCCTTTTCTTTTAGGATTGGAACTTCGGGGGGAGATTTTTTTAAAGTTATTTCCAAGCACAGAGTGCTTTATAGGGTCATCTCATTTGAACGATGGAGTGGTTTTGTAGGCTAACCTCTTGCTCTAATGCTAAACTTTCCTTTTCTTTTTAAAATGGTAAAATCTGGGGATTACATCTTTTTTTTTGTCAAGATCAAACTGAATTAATCATTGTTTTTACTTTTTGATAACATGAAATCTTTCACAAAATATTTTTGAAAGTGCAGTAAATTAATACACCAAAACATTGCTGTTACTTCAATCTTGCACGGAAGTCAAATATTTATATTTATCTTTGTTTTAAAATCTTGTTTTGCACACAGATGAGCATCACTTTCTACAAGGAAAACTAATTTATTTTAAGACTGTGTTTCTTTTATTATAAGGATGTTTCTTTTCACTACAAAATGATGATTGATAGGACTCTTTACTGATAATTTTTGTATGTGAGAAATAGGAAGTGGTGAGGCAAGAATATGCATAAGACAACCAGGCTAACGTATTTTTACTTCATGTTTACTTCATTTTCGTCTTCTTAGGCCAAGTTTCAAAACTCCTTACCATTTTGAATAGTTCAGTTAAAAACACCTATGACAAGTTAATATTGCAGATTTGCATTCAAAATCTAAAGTGTAATGGTTCAGAATGACCATATTTTATTCACATTATGACTGCTGCGAGCTGTGGTAGCTCAGAAGGCTAGGGCATCTAGCTCCTGACCGGAAGGTCCCGGGTTCAATCCCAGGTAGGGGCAAGTGATGGAGTTTGCTCTAATTCCTTCCAGACGGCTCCCAGGTCCTGTCATCCTGTTTTCCAAATGAGTAAGGGTAGGGAGGTTAATCCTTCCAGGGGTAATAGGCCTGCTGGAGCGTGATGCTACCCACATCACCTCCACCTCCAGTGTTGGGTGGTCAAAAAAAATGGTGGCCTTTACCCCCCATTCCTCATGGGCCTTTATGGCCTGAAAAGGGGACCTAACCTACCTACCTTATGACCGCTGCAATTACTTTTTACTGCCACCTTTTAAAAGTGATATGTATGTAAATATAGTGATTTGTACATACAGTAGAACAATAAATGATAAAATAATGTTTTCAAAAACAATTCTGTTTGAAAGCAGGTTTTTAAATTGTATCTTCTGTGTTAAAGGAGAAAAGCTAAATGAAATTAGCCATATTTGACACAAGGAAATTGTCTTTTTCTGTACCAGCTCTTTAACCATCTGCTACCCTTAAAGGCAACTTTAAAGCCAGTCAGAGCTTAAAGTCGTATTGATGTACAGTTGCTGTTGCTTTATGCATTTATCACCGTTAGTGATATTTCTTGATCCCCAAACCCCAAATATATGCTTTACTTTATGGAATGGTTCCCCAAAAAAGTGGAGAAGTTGTTTTAATGAATTCAAGTCTAAAGAACACGTCTCATTGCAAACAGGCAGATAAAATGAAACAATTTTTGGTCTGTGGTTTTTGGTATGCACAAATGGGAAGTGTGTTTTTGAGTGGACCGTAGAAGAAATGTTTTTATTCAAGTGTATTTTGTGGTGAACTAAACCATAAGACAAGAATTCGACCTGGTATTTTATTTGCTTTAGTGATATTAAATAAATTAGCTTGAAATAAAGCTAAAATGCTTTGCTATTATATTGAAAGTAATATATATGTGTCATATCTAATATTAAGAGTATATCAACAGTGTTTTCATAAGACAAACTGTTTCATCGTTTCCTGGTATGTTTTAAATGGTAACTATTTTACATTGTTTACATAAAATTGTGTCAGATTACACAAATATCAGATGAAGTTCCTTGAGCCTGGGCAAGTATTGGTAAATTACATATTATTGGACATTCTTTGTGTATTAATTTGGGAAATTATATTAAAACTGTTTTTATGCACTATGCAATGAAATCAGTTGGACTTGTAGCCTTCTCATCAATACACTTTACAATACTTTCCCAGAAACTAATTGATATTTTTTTTTTGTATAATTCGATTATTTGGTGTATCTTTTGGTTTTATTCTAATTTGAATTATGATTAATCTTTTCTGGAACTTTTTTTTCATATTGTTACTGTTAGACAAAAGAATGAACACATTTTAGAAAAAAGAATGTGGGGTTGTCTTTAAAAGTCAAGCAATGATATCTTAGTAACACTGAATGTGGATTCAAAGCAAAATGCAGAAGGTAATGTTGGGTGATGGGTATAGTTTCTTTTACAGCTTTTGAAGCCAAAACTAAAATAAGCACTGGAACTTTGATAATGTATATTTATAAAATCAAAATAAAAACATTACAACTGTTGCATTTTGTCTTTATATCTAATCCCTTTTTGATTATTGTAGTACTGTACATAGTGTTGCACAATAGACATCAATAATAAAAGTCAGAATAACTTGATATACTGTAAGTAAAGAATTGTTAAAATGATTTGACAGTGTATCTTAGTGCTCCAATAATTCAGTTTCTGCTGTATTTGAAGTTTTCACCCTTAAACTCGTTTGACCAAACAAAAGCCAGAACCTTGTTCCTCTATGCAACTGTGTTGTTCTAACTCAATGCTTGATGGCGATTCTGTTAATACTGTTTTACATTCTGAAATTTAAAATGAATGTGTACTAATGCTTGTGGTCACTTGAAATCACTAGGTTGAACACTGTTTTTGTTCTAATATGATAAAACATACGCATGGAATTGCACAGAAATAAAGTTTTTTACTTATCGTTTAAATTTTAAAATCAATTTGTTAAAACACACTCTACATGTTATGGCTCCTCAGTATCTAGCTGATATGTAATCTGTTCACTCCTCTCCAGCTCAATTTTCTCTCAGCTGATCCTACCTTACTGTGTGTTACAGTTAATATTCTTACACTCTGTGGGTAACAGGACCTTTTGTTGCAAAGCTGAGAAACACCATTTCAAATGAAATCAGGAACTAGTTTTTTTTTTCATGTTATATTTGCTAGTGCACACAGTATTTGGACAGTGGGACACTATCTTATATGAATGACAGACTGTACTGAGATTTAAAGGCTTTCATATGTAAAACTTAATATACATATTGCAGCAACACTTTTTGAATAAAACATCTAGGTTGATTATGTGTCAGCTACTTGTAAAGAATATTGAACTAAAGCACTTAAAACCACTTGTGCCAATCATTCAGTGAAATAATGAATCACATTTCCAAACGACCAACAGAGGCTTTGTATCTATGAAAACATACTATACTGTGAGTTAGCTTGTTTTGAAATCCTCCCACTAGATCAGTGATTTTGTTTTTACCAAACGTAATGTTCAGTCTCCACTGCAGAAGCATCAGGAATATTTGAATGTACAAACTGAAAAGGTTATAAAGACTAAGTATTATAAGTTAGTTCCACAAATAAACAGTCAATTGTTCAAAACACACACTGTAGGGCAGTTTTTACAGGAACTATTCAGTTTGCTGCTAATTATAGTAAAATCTAGAACTGATGTTAAATTTTCATTTTTAGATGGGATCTCTGAATTTAGTAGTGCTGACGAAGATAAGCAGATTGCCTCCGAGTCTGATTTGTATGTTATCAAGAGCACCAGCAAAGGAATCATCCCTCTTTGATCTGATGTTGCTCAGCCCATGAAGTCTAAGAAGGGGTACTGCATTACAAACTAATTATTCCCTTGTCCAGTAGATCCTGTTGTTTTTCATTTGAACAGATAAGATTTAGACAATTTCAGTAAAACTAGGTAAATGAAGGAATCCTAATACGAAGTAAATGTCTTGTTGAATTTATGATTGATTAATTTTGTGTGGAGAAACTGGTAATGGCATTAATGTGATTTAAGCCATAGTTGTGTTTGTGTTTAGCAATAATAATTGACTTAATGCTAGAGTATGAGAGTTTTGCACATCGGGGGGAAACCTTTTCAAAATAACCGGTTTCATTTTCTGTCACTGTTGTTGTTTTTCTTTCAATTTATTTAAATTCAGTTTTCCAAGATACCACATATTTTAATATGCCGACAGGCAGGCAAATTGAGCTTTGGTCTGAGGGAGAAATAACACATTCTAATTTTTGCACAGACTTTTTTTTACCATCAGTGCACACAAACAGTCGCATGGGGTGACAAAAATCCCAGACAGTTGTTTTTCAAGGCAATTTGAAGTGGAAACTATTTTAGGTTTGCCTGTGTTTCAGAATTCGATCAAAATAAGCCAACTAAAAGGCAAATAAAACATCTACTGTACATCAGCAAGTCATTGAGCAAATGTTCCTCTCCAAAATGTGAAGGGAAATTGGAACTAGAAAACCATGAACAGCATCTGTAGGACATGCTGCAGTTTTGTGTGGAATGTTTTGCAGGTATCTCTTACAGTATGTCACACAAGGTGTCTTTTTTTGTGTGGTGAGAAAATGTTTACATTTCTGTGATGATAATGATGAATACTTTGAAAGTCTTCGAATACTGTTGTACACCTTGTGCTATTTGAGTATTGCATCCAAACAAAAAAATATTAAATTTGGTACTAAGTGAAATCGTATCATAGTGACATCTTAACTAGATGTATATCTAGTTATTATTAGTTATTTTTTAATTAATTGCCTTTATGAGCAGCTCTAGATCCTTGCAGTCATATGGTATTAATTTCCACTGCTCAGATATTTTATAATCTCCTTGTGTGAATCCCAATTTAATTTGAACTCTGCTTTACTGAACCATATTGTCTTACATTGTGCATACTGCTGTATGTCCTCTGTAGAAGGGCTGTTCTCTATAAAGATAAATACTTCAAACCAGCTTGGATTAGCAAGCAGAAACATTCTTGATGAACCTGTTTGGCTAGGTGAGTCACCAGAACATATCTGTAAAGTGAAGGATTAAGTGTCTTTTCACTTTTATTGCTCTCAAGTTCTTAAAAACTAAATGCCTAAATAAACAAATACCTGGAATTAAATGTTTTCCTACAATTTATGCTTCTGAAATAAGTGTTAAACTAACAACATGTGAACCTCACCTGAGAAATAAACATGCTGTATACTATCCCCAAAAGGGTGGTTAACTAGTAAGATGTTTATTGTGTAAGAAATAAAAAAGCCCAACAGACAGCACATATCCTTTGGCATCTGTGCCATAAAATTGGACATCTCACACTTTGAAGTGATAGGAACATGGAGAGATGTTATTTAAATTTCAAATCTTTAAAGATTCACAATCTTTACTCTTGACAAGGACTGACTTTTGACAGTTTAGGATGTCTGAGCTTTGAAAGCATGCAGATGAGAAGAGACTTTATGTAAAGATGTGATAAGGTCTCCAACTGCATCCCAGTGACACGGCCTGTGACTCGGGGAAGCCTTCAATACACAATAAAACACACATTAAAAAACACAGTCAGTTCACAGCTACTCCCGCACAAGCAAACAAACAGACCACAACCACAAAGAAATTAACATTTTCTAGTCATCCTCAGATCTGGTCCCAAATAGTCTTCCTGTAAGATCATTTGGGACCAGATCTGAGGACGACTAGAAAATGCTAGTCAACAAAACAAGTCAAACAAACCAAAAATTTATTTGCTAAGCTCTTCATGTCAATTTGAAACAAAGCTAATTACATTTCTAAGTGTAGAAAAAATTAACACAAGTTCAACACATTGTTTTATATGGATATAGCATGATCAATCAGTTGAATATTTTTTCCTTCTTTCCTATTTTTGAAATGCAGCTTATACTATCTGCTCTTTATTATCAGAATCAAAATGCAGTGTTGTTCAAACTGTGTAAACCCAATTAAAAATATCTGACAATCTCTGCTTTTATTAATGATAGGCTGTTGTCTCAATACTGTATACCTCAGGTACTCATCTGATGATCATTAAAAAAGGAAATTCAGTCTCAGAGAAGCCTGAGTCTTTTCAAGATGATTGCACGTAGCAGGAAAACCTCACATCTGCCTTAATGATCACACCGACGTTGGGAGAGGAACTGACACTTACATCTGAGATCGCATTGGTGAAGTGGTTCAGATGGACTTCCTGAGCTCTCTCCTAATGAAGAAATGTGGAGATCAGTTCATAGAAAGTAATTGTAATAGAAAATGTTTCATTGCAATGACAAAATGGTCAGGCATTTAATTAGTGTCTGCAACTTTAACAATATTTAAGATTTAACTAGAATATTTTCACTGTCTTAATATTAATATGGGCCATGAACATTTTTATAAACAAACTATAAAAGTGTGGTCTTACCGGGAAAATCAAAATTAGTTTTCTCCAAATTGTTTCTGAACAAAGGCACATTAAAAGGTATTCTAATGCTCCAAAATGGACACTTTAAGGTCTTCTAAACACAGGTGGATAAATACAGGTATAAGAATAGGGTAAATTCTAGAATTACAATGCATTCCACAAACCATTTTATGAAGGAGTGGATGGCAAGATCAGAATACCCTCAGAATGTGTACTATAACACACTCAGGAAAACAAACTTAAAACATCTTTGGCTTTTTGCATTTCCAAGTTGCAGCATTTCTGTTAAATGCTTGGCTGACTGAAGACTTGGATTGTCGGTCACACAAACTGCTCTCAAGGCACATTATCTTCCCTCAGAAGGCAGCAGGAGGTCCCTGGCAAATTTACGTGCATTTCCCTTCTGTGAAAATCACACACAGAAGGAACTTCACCACAACACATCGTACAGAAAAGATACACAGAAATCACACAGGTGGGGCCTGTTAAAATGTGAGCAGTCTGAGCAATATTAATCCAAACAGGATATGAGTAAAAGAAAAGCAAACAAACACTACATTGTGTGACTCATTTAAGTCCCACTAGAGAAATAAGGTGAAGCAGTTAAGGACAGTTTAAATATTGCTGTTATATTGACGTCTTCACTTGGTATTTTGTTGGTACACAACAGTGCTAAGTAGGATTCTTCTGCTCTGTTAGTGGAATTTCAGTTCTGGGAAAACATACAAAATAATATATTGAATTGCTATTGTAAAATTTGGATAAATAAATTATATTATCATAGAAATATACCTGGCATATATTCACATGGTTTCTTTAAATGAATGCTAGTAGAGTCCTTATAAGAAATAGGTGTGTGTTAAAATCTGTTCCTGACTAAATGCAAAACAATGGGATGAAATTGAATGTAAACATTCCTACACACAAATCACGTTCAACAGCAAACTGGGCACTGGATTCTTTGGCACTCAGAAGACAGGGTAGAAAATATGATACATCTGTTATGTTCAATTTCCTTCAATTGTGTGCCAAAATACCTTTACAAGTAGTTATTTTTAAAAATGTACTATACAATAAGTATATGTGCCTGAAGAACCTGAAGTGATTTGCTAATAAACTGAAATGAGCTGAGCTAGAGTTCTAGTTCTAGAGTTCTCGATGTTGCTCCACTTTCCAGAACTCACTTCTGGATGGACTCCATCTTGGGCTCCACTGTGCTTCCCCTCTCTCTGATTGGCTACAACTGTTCCATCTGTCTCTCTCTCCTGAACAGGCTCCTGATGGGCAGATGTGGGAATCCAAAAGTTTAAAACTTCCCTACATTTTCAAAGGTGAAAGGACCTGCATTTTATGTCCTGGAGAACTGGTTTGGAGTTTGGCCTCCAGATAAGACTGAAGTTTAGTTCTTGAGGGGCCTATGTAATACCCTGAATTTCCGGTAATACCCTGAATTTTCAGGTTTGAGAATGAGGTACCTATATAAGGACTCTGTGTAGACTATTAATGGAACTGTTTACCATTTAATGACTTCATTAAATGTAGTTCTTCATTTATCACTGAAATTTCTCCCTCAAAGGGAAGCCTAACAGTTTGTTATAAAGAGTGATATCACACTTCGCTCTTCAATTAATCCAACAAATTGCATGAAATGAACCTTTTAGAATGGAAATACTGTAAGATATAGACTCGGCTCCTCACATTCTAAACATCATACAGAAATATTATCAGTAACAACGGTGTAGACAAAAGATTAGAATAACTGGGTGAAGAAATAAGAGAGACACCTGGGAAGTGAGATAATATCATTTCTTGTTTTTGTATTTTTGCAAACTATGCAGACTAGTGGCTTGAAGTTGGCTTTCCACCCAAATATATAAAGATGCTGCCTGTCCTTGGTCAGTAAGATAAAGGGCATGTACTGTATTTGGTAAAGCTTCTGGCTGTATGCCCAGAACGTGAAAAGAACTGTTGTCTAGTCTGCAACTTAGATATAATTGTCAAGTGTTGCTGTCTTATCACTTGTTTAGAATGTCTCATAGTAACTGGTTTGTTTTAAGGTATAAAGGACAATCTTCAGCTACTTATTTTTAAGTCCGGTGGTTGCAAGCCGGACTTCCATATGCATATGAAATAAAGAGACTTCTGCTTCACAGACACCTGAACTTTGTCATTTGTATGACACAACATGGGTAAATGAGGGACACCACATATATTGAAAGCAAGAGCTTTGACACAAGTGTGGTTCATGCCATAATTACCTTGAATTCAAGACCTGACCCAGACCCAGAACTGACCTCTGGAGCGCTGGAGGGCTTAAGCAGTAAGAGGTTAAGCAAACAACCCCCCAGCGTGCTTATTATGTATAAAATGGCAGACAGACTTGGTTGCCTGTAATTATACGAGTAATACAGTAATCCACAGACATTTTAACAACTAATTTGCAAACTACTGTTTAGTTATAACATGACTTCAGCACAATTGACAGACATCAGCTGACAATGTACAACTAATTTGCTTCTGCAGTGGAAAGGGGAGGGGTGTATAAATATTACAAAATGATCCATACCCTGGAATTTTATATTGGTCAATTTATTTAGCAGATATTAAACCAAAATATACTACATACATAGTTACAATCAACACGGGGAGCATAAATAATACAGGGGTCATGAATATGGCAGCTTTACACATTCCCCATAGATTTTAACTTCATATACAGCTTGTACAACAACTATACTTAAGAGATCTGTTTTCAATTTTATTTTTGGACTGGCCAAAACGAAAATATTATCCTTTTTATGCTGAAATATATTTTCTATAATCTGTTACACTGTGCAGTGAAATTACCACCAATAAAAGTCAAATTCATGGAGCACAGCTTAAATTGTACTATATAAAAAATTGGACTGAGCTTCACTGTCTCATTTGGAAAATACTCAACTTTCTTCAAAATAACATTTGTTGCAAACCCTTAGTTTTTTTGTATGTATCAACGGCTAAGTTGATATTTTGCAGGCAGGCATGGGTAACAACAAGGACATCATCCCTGTATTATTCCTACATGAGAAATCCTACTATATGGACATTGACACGGTGTTCTCCACAAGGCTATAAATATAGCGCTGTAGCTTTACTTCTGTTTTTTTTTTAGGAGAAAATCTACTGAATTCAGAAAAGAATTGCTACATAAAAACAAGTCCAAACTGGCTTCCTAAAAATAAAGGGAATCATGTATTTCACTTTACCTATAAAATAAGTTTTAAAATACACATAATTTACAGAAAAGGAAAAAAACAGATACCCTCTACTAATGAAAGGCAGTGCAGCCCACCTAGAATATGCATAAGAGAAAATGGAACTTCTATGCATGAAACATTGAGGTGAAATTAAATCCATGGGATTCCGATTGACGTATAAATTGATGCTTATGCTTAAAACCCCTACGTATTTATGTATCTCAGTGCTGTATATTCGCAGAATCGAAGGATTTGTTCCGATGCATTTCTTACGAGGAAGAACGATGAGGCATCAAAAGCCCATGAAATGAAACATGCCAGGTCAGGTCATTACCCTTACTAACTCACACTTGATTGAACGTTTATGATTGTTTCATACTGTAGCTTGCATGTCCACATTCTTCATTTGGACTTCTCACTAGTATGGAAAGACAAAGGGTGGTAACGTTGTTGGAAACAAAGCATGTTCCTGGAATGTACTGAAAAAAAAACACAAAAAGCGTGCAATTTACCCAACACATCACAAAGAGAACACTGATGTGCACAAACAACCAACGTGGTGTGTTCCAAAATGGGCATGCCCCCTCAAAATATGTACAAACCAAAAGTACAACTAGAAAGCAAAGAAAATAAAAATAAAAAGTAGTAATAATAATGTCCTGGGAATTATTTTTTTAATCCATTCACTGTACACAGCATAATGTACCCCATACCATATTGTGTTCTTTCTCATGGACAAAGTAATTCAGACAACAGTGATTCATTGTATATTCTATAGTTTATCTATATTACATTATGAAACAGCTTCTTGCAATAATTAGAAATTGTCGTGTGGCCTGATCACTGAAAGACAGTATCTAACACAGGGTCGAGTGGGGCTTCTACAGTACTACTCTTGAGATTGGTACAGTGATTAAAAGTACAGTCTGGCGGTGGCTGGCAGATTTTCAGACTCCCATGCCTTTGGTTCACGTAGATTTCTGTCTGTAATGGAGGGTGAGGTCACCACCACTCTTCCAGATAAAATGCTTTACTGTTCGCAGGTCCATATTTGGATCCAAAACCTGTAGTAAAAAATATTCATTATTTAGTCTCAATTTATACATTTTTTCCATGTCATTATTTACATAGAGGAAATATCAAATTAAATATGTTATCAAAATGACCATTTTAAGCTACGTTTGCCATATAGCTCTTTAGAGTTGTATTCTAATCAAGAATCTAGTTAACAATCAGTGCTCAGGTAGTTATAACGGAAGAAATGTTAAAAAACCAGAGAATGCCATCTATCCTGTTTAGCAGTTAATGCAAGAATATCCATCAGCAGTTTCTTAAATGAAAACAGGGTATCGGATTCAACAACATGGGAACATGTTCCCACACTATATGACACAAAGAAACGTGAACCACGCTTGGTCATAGTGCTTTTGTGAACCTTGACCAGAATTCTTTATATTTTGTGGAACTCAATAAGAATAATAAAAATAGACATACATAAAATTAAAAAAACAACATGCAGGTGATCAGAAAAATCATTATAAAAAGTTTTATTTTTTCCCCCATTAAGGTGGGAAATAAGTACAATTATCCTAATGGCAGTTATCCTTAACTAGAGATGGGACACACACCAATTTCTGACAAGAGTTCCAGTTAAGTTTTTCTAAGACAAGAGCTGCTCTGATGAGTATTTGGGATGGCACACCTGATCCTGACAGAGCAGTTCAATCTTCTCCTCTGCCAGCACAGCTATATCTTCCTCTTTCTCCTGCTCTCCTGGCTTCTCATTGTTGGAGGAGCTGGTGGTCTGCGACTCATTGTCTAGGTTTATAATCTTCTCGTACACGTGCTCCATGACTTTTCTCACCTGCAGCATGTCACTGGCAGAGAGCCGATCCCTAAAAAAAAAAAGCATTGGCATAACAAATGATGCTCTTCTTCTAACTCATCCATCTATCCATTTTCTTACCGCTTGATCCAATTCATGAGAGAAGCCGAAGCCTGTCCCAGCAAGCAACGGGCACAAGGTGGATTATACCCTGGATGGGACATCTGTGAATCATGGAGCATACATACAAACCAAGGCCAATTTGGATGGGACATCTGTCAATCATGGGGCATACATACACACCAAGGCCAAATTGTACCAGAAGCCAGTTAACATACCCCTATGTCTCTGGACTGGGGGAGAAAACCCATGTGAACTAAACTCCATACAGATAGTACCCCAGGTCCAGAAATGAATCCAGGACCCCAGCAATCCAAGGCAGCAATGCTACTCACTGTGCCACCATACTGCCCTTTTCTGACTCATTCTTCCCAGTTTATACAACACATAAACAATTCATTTGCTTCACAGTACCCAGTTATGGACAAATGAACAAAAGGGAAATATGGATGGAATTTGAAATGCTCAAATATTGATAATTTTATGCTACCAATTTCAAAAGAAGTAATCTATCCTACTGCAGTACTTTACAAGATAATCTGTTCTCAGTTTGGTTAGCTTATTACACCTCTCTTGGCAATGTGCAGGAACTCCATCCTACAATCTGATATGGCTTATAATTCAAGTTTAATTTGTGTATGACAGGATGTAAACATCTGTCGTGGTTTAATGCAATCACAAATGAGTAAACTTACTTCTTTAGAGTCTTTGCACCAGAAGAGGAGTGAGGCTGGAGGTAGAATGGGATTTTGTTGAATTTAGGCATATTTTTCTGCAAAATAGAAAAAAAATGCTAGTTGTAAGCAATGGGCCACTAGCTAGCATTCTACCATCTGCTACGCACATTGTTTTTACCACCAGCTAAAGCTAATCCTGCCACATGAGCATCACTGTGAAATGACACTTGTTCATTTTTGTATGTGCTCTGATTCATGTTAACAGCTGCCTTAAGTGATGTTATAACAGTAACTGAGATTGTCAAACTTTCACTCTGTTGTTCAAGAAATGCAACCAACTTGGCTTTCTTTTGCTTTGTTTACAAATACTTTCCATCACTTCAAATTAACAAGAGTGGTACTTTTGTGAGCACGCTAGTAACTCATTTATGGAAAAAAGTCCATCCCTCTCAGGAATCTAATGTACAGATTGAGTACAGCTCTACGTACATCCACAGTGATATCAATAACCCATTGTGGAACAGTCTCATTTAGCAGCATGGACTCTGTTTCACCACCTGAATCTCGACACAGTAACCTGTAATGAAAATAACAGAGATGACAAAGAGCTCTGTTTGCGGGCAATCACTGTAGGCTAGAGAAACACATTTGACATCTTTAAAAGGAAATGACATGTTTGAATTGTTTCTTTGATGCTGCAAAATCTTTTAAAGGGATAATAAAAATGTTTATAATTAAACCTCAAATATACAGTAATTACAACCAACAGTATTTAACAAATGTTAGTAGTACTTTATGAATACTGCATGTCTGATACTATTAGCAGCACTGATAAAGAATCCAAAATGAAAGTGGAACTAACAGGACACTTACCTGAAAAGAGTCCTTCCTCCTGCTTCCCCAAAAATGACTGGAGTGTGTGGTGGAACCTGAAAATACCCATTTCCTTTCTGTATCCTGTTTTCCTGTTCCCCGTTAACTAGAAAAGAAAGAAAATTACACACAGGACAATGTCTGAATCCAGTAGAGTATTACATAAAAATGAGAACTGGAAAATAATTCACAATTAACATTTAAAACAAACAACTGGGATTGTTAAATTGGCTTTTTCAGCCATCTTATCTGTTTTTTATGTTTTCCTACATGAACACTGGGTTTACTTTATGTCATACTAATAATACTTGGCATATGTTAATGATTGTACAATAACCTACAAGGTTTTCAAAAAAGAATTAAATATAGATATAAAAAAGGCAACAACACAAGAAAATAAATGTAATAATCATGAAAGAAAGAAACAAAAACAAAGATGAACTTCACACATAGCATAGGATTTACCTATAGAAGGCTACACAAGCACAAAATACCTACCATGGTTAATTTCATTTTCCTCTTCATCCATTGGGTTGATGTGCGTTCTTGGCCAGTACTCCAACAAAGCTTGAAGAAGCAGTCCACCGAGATTTACTGGCAACAAAAAGGAAAATTAACCTTACAGGGCTTTCAATGCATTCACAATGGATATAATTTCATTTGGAATTCAAAGCAGAACATAAAACAAAGGTAAAAAGGTAATAAAACAAGCAATATATTCTTTGGTCAAACCTCCTGTTAATATGTATGGAAAATAATTCCTGAAACACAAGTAAAAACTACAAGGTAGTGCATTAATAACCAAGAACAAGGCAGTCCTTGAACAAACAGTTGTGGCAGTAAGGACCAAGCTACACAGTGATGTTGTTGAAGCTGGTACCCTGACTTCTTTCAATAAATGGCTGGATAAGATCCTCAGATATACTATGTACAAACTAGCTCGTGGCGTGCTGAAAAATATTTTGTCCATACTATTTCTGATTTGGTGTGCAATGAGCACATCAGAGCACCAACTTCATGAAGTGTCAGTCAGTGAAAGATTGATCCTCATAATTTAGACAATTTACTAAAGTTTCAGTCACATTATGGCCGGCAGCCATATCACCCTGCAACTCACAACTGGCAACCCACAGAAGCTAAGCAGGTGTGAGCCTGGTCAGTACCTGGATGGTAGACCTCCTTGGAAAAAACTAAGGTTGCTGCTGGAAGAGGTGTTAGTGGGGCCAGCAGGGGGCGCTCACCCTGCGGCTCATGTGGGTCCTAATGCCCCAGTGTAGTGACGGGGACACTATACTGTAAACAGGCGCCGTCATTCGGATGAGACGTAAAAACCGAGGTCCTGACTCTCTGTTGTCATTAAAAATCCCAGGGTGTTTCTTGAAAAGAGTAGGGCTGTACCCCGGCGTCTTGACCAAATTTCCCATCGGCCTTTATCAATCATGGCCTCCTAACAATTCCCCTCTATAAATTGGCTTCATTACTCTGCTCTCTTCCCCACTGATAGCTGATGTGTGGTGAGCGTTTTGGCGCACTATGGCGTCGCATCATCCAGGTGGATGCTGCACATTGGTGGTGGTGGAGGGGAGTCCCCATTACCTGTAAAGAGCTTTGAGTGGAGTGTCCAGAAAAGCGCTATATAAGTGTAAGCAATTTATTATTATTATTCTAAATTGTTTAATCCTTTCATTATTTTTTATTTTCTATACAGAAACAATTCTTTGGCAATCTTATACATTTTTTAAAGGTTCAATTTGAGAAATCTAGATTTTGCAGTACAAAACAATGTTTTGGCGTGATGTTTGCATGGAAAGGAACAAATGATATAAGTGATGAGAAACATTAAGAAGTTTATAAGTCAACATTAAGTAGTGTGCATTAAAGATTCCTAAATGATAAGTTTAATTTTTCTTTGAGTCAATTGATGATCATGCAACTCTTTTAACTTCTTCTGACGAACATGTCTTAGTCTTTGAGCCAATCCTAGCCCAGTAAGGAGAGATGCTGAACAAAAGGAGAGAAGGAGCACGTATTTTTTCCAACAGCAAAGCCTTATAAACAGACCCTCACTTTGTGCATCAGGACACAAGATGTTACACTAGTTATCAGCAAACCTTCCATGTGCTCATGTTGACTTGAATATGGTACCCCAGTACCTGTCTGAATCAAAACCTGTTTACATAGTAATATATTAACATTTAATATGCCCAAATGCTAGCAAGATGAAAGATGAAACACACTTCTCTTTAACATTCAGTACATGCTGTACCCAATAAACACTGCTCTACTCCTTGACCAAGAGCTGGCCAGGCATATCAGGTTTTATTTTTACTTCATCATCAATCCAAATTTCCCTGGAGTGATGCCTTTCATTATGCATGTAATAGTTTCAGAGATGTACCATAATTTCACATGTGCCGGCTGCAGCAAATTAGAATATTCATTGATCAGTCTGTCTAGTTAATTTCTTAACAGTTACATTCACTTTACGATATAGAACATAATGCTAGAAAGATGTACTTTACAGCTCCACTTACGTTTTGGGTCAGATCCATCGGGACTACTGAATCCAGCATCCTTGGCAGAGACCCAGGCAGCAAAACAGTCACTCTCATCCAAAGTGATTGTCAACATCTGGGGGGGGGGAATCAATAAAATCACAATCTTGTGGAGTTTCAATAAGCACTGTTTCTTCTTTCCTGAAGTTCTTTAATGAAGTAAAATCCCTCCAAAAATAAAGTCCAAAATATTGGAGAATAACGAACAAACTATTTTGAGAACTGATATTTCTATTACCTACAGCATAATTTTTATCTGACTCATGAAATCCATTATGCTGTACATTTCTGCTAATTAAGGGACATGTCTGCAGCACACACTCAGTACAACCCCCTTTTACTATGCAATGCAATAGCAATTCAGCACTCACTCACACACCACTCACTCTATGTACAAAGAAAACAAGGCAGGACATAGACTTCCAGCAATTTTACAGAACCCAAAACACAACTCTGGGACTTCCCTATCGTAATATGAACAACGCAGTCTCAAAAACATAATAAAAATGATTTGAATCTAAAACAGATATCTTCACCATTGTGATAAAAACACCTACACCAGTTTCTTTATCTTAAACTGCAATATAAGGTGCCTTGCAAAATGTTTTTCAGACTCTTGCATAATTGTCACTACTTGTTCCTTTACAGTTCGCAGTCACAACAATTGGAAGTAACAATTGATATTTGTTATATCCACATCCAGTACTCCACATTCAAAGCGAACAAAAAAACAAAACATACATTGATAATATTGAAGAAAATGGAAAAGACATGATTGCATAAGTATTGAAGCCCTTTGCTGTGGCATGCCTAAATTGACTTAGGTGCAAACAAATATTTTCGCGAAAGTAACATCTTCAAAAACAACCCAGAGTCAAAGTTTGAAGGCACAGAAAAGGAAGAAGGGTATAAAAACCCTTCAAAGCCCATTATCATCTCTGAAAATGGTGAAGTTGATCATTAAATACTGCAATATACCCAAACACTACCTAGGTCAGGCTGTCCTATATTATTCAGATGGGCAATGACTAAATTGGAAAGGAAGAAAATGTCCTTGGGTTACAAATATTCAGATCACTGCACAATGGGGGGCTTGAATGGAACTGAAAGAAAAACATCTGAAAACCTTCAGATGCTGCAAACATGACTTAATGTTTTGTGATCAGGCAAGAGAAAACTGAAATTTTGGCTTAAATGCAAAGGGTCTGAAGCAAATCCACCATAGTGCATCACTTAGTCAGCACCTTCCCACTGTAATGCATGATGGTGTCAGCTTTATATCACAGTTCTGTATCTCATCAGTTGGGACTGGGAATCTTGTCAAGACACAGGAACACAGATTGGTACTGGCAAATGTGACAAAAATACACTTTTCTGCAGGACAATGAAAAAAAGCACAAAGTCAAAGCTACAACGGACTGGCTTGAGATTAAGAAAGTGAGTGTCCTTGAGTAGCCCAGCCAAAGTGCTCTCGTAAATTCATTCGATCAGATGTGGAAAGACATGAACACTGTTGTCTATAAGATCCCCAAGCACCCTGAAAGAGACCTGAAGCAAAAAGACTTGCTGCTATAATTGCTGCAAAAAGGTTCTTTAACCCAGCACTGAATTCATAGGTCTAAATACTTCTGCAATCAACACATTTCAGTTTTTCTCTTTAGTCTTTGTTATAATTTACTGTAACCTATCTTAACCTTAGTCTTCAGTTAGAACATTGAGTTTTTTTTTTAATTACCAAGATTAAAAAAACAGTGGTATGCATCATTTTCTGATTGTGTCACAAGATGTGACATTAAAGAATGGGTAAAGATACTTTTGCAGGGCACTGTACTGTATGCTAAGTGATACGTTATCCAGTATTAAGTAGGTGGAACAACAAAGTATCTCCACTGTACTGAATGCCTAATTTAGAATATAATAAGTTAGGGGACCTCCTACTTTAACAAAACTACATTTACCAATCTTACCCCAGTTTTCAAATCTACAGAGAACCAGTTTGGCACGTATACCATCTTGAATCTCTTTTTGATTTCTTCATCAAATTCTACCTTCCCAAGGTCTTCCACTTTACATGCCTGGGAAAAAAAGTGCAAAATAGCAATTAGTCAAAAAGTGCTTTAGAAATCCTATATTCAAATACGATGAAGGTACACTACTCACCTTCAGTACATCCCAGTAAGCCACATTGTTGTTTGTGTCTTTGGTAAGTATGTGTCTCTTATCATTCAGTATGTGGCACTGAATTATGCTAGCTCCCCCTAGAGGACAAAATAAAACTTGTTTTGGGGTATCACACAAGCAAGGAATTAAAAGAATATTGCAGAACAAATCTTAACCCTTATTTCTAGCATTTTTAGAGTTAATTAATGTGAAAGCATACTGCATATCACCTGATTATGAAAGCATTTCTAGTGTGTTCATTTACTTTTTATCCCTTTACTGTTACAAAAATGGATCTAAGCATCACAATACACCATAATTATGTTCATAATGAAAGGAACTTGAAAGGCAAATGCTTTTAGGATTTTGTTATTTTTGGCTTGTTTTGTAATGAGTTTATTGTTTTGAATTCCCACAAGTATGCTCAAGGTTAGCATCCATATTCAGCTTACATAAGTATGTGTTGTACCCCTGCTTCTAAAACATCTTATACAGCAATGTTTTCTATTGTAATAAACTGACTACTACATTAACGGATTTAGAAATTTCTTGATTGCTTCCTAACTTGTAACATACAATTCTTAATTTTATCATTGATCATAACAAGGAGAGACTACTCTGAAATTGTGTTCAATAAAACAAAAAATAAATAAAATCAAAGCTTTTAATTTAAGTCTAAAATGAAGGTAATACACAGACGTGATGTGCATGCATGAGGAACAAGTGATATTAATTGAAATCTCTTCCTTTTCTGCATGAAATTAACTATAATTTTGCAGCTAACATACTGGCACAGCTCCCAACTCCAATCTCTTTTCTATCTGACTGTGATCATACCACAGTTTATGCAGAAAGAAACAACAAGACCTATTTCAGAACAACTGTACTAGCATAATCTTAAGTATTCAAACTAAAATGAAATGATAAAAGCATGACTTTTAATGCAATCAGCTTAAGTCATTGATGTGAAAGCCAGAGATGCTACCTTAAGAGGGCTTTGCCATAATCAGACTTCCCATTGATTGAATCCAATGGGAATTCAAAGGGAGTTCCTAGAAATGAACTGTCTGCTACCGCATAGCTAATTAGGCAAAAAAAACAGCTGCTGGGATAATACTGCCAAGTGCATCCATCACTGCATGTCCCTAAAAATATGAAAATCAAAGCTCAGGTGCCTCTTCCAAAAGCTTAAGCAATACTTTTTTAATGTTGTTGTCGTTTGACACCACTTGAGAATAAATGAGGTGCACATACTGTACAACATTTTTCTTTTCCACAACTAATTAAAAGCCTTTACCTTTGATGACCTGTTCTGGTTGTGTGCAAAGAGGTGTCAAGGGAGTGCTACAGTCATTGTCATAATCACCAGATGCTCTGAAATTGTGGATACCCTTTAGGGACTGCAATAAAAATAAAGTAAACCAACACTGATAAAAATGAAATTCCATTATGATACAAATTTATGACACAAAACAGAATCATATTTAAGTAATGGGGCTATATTTTTCATCATTAAACCCATTATCCCATTAGGCATCAACAAAAAGGTTAGGAATCAGGAATATTGCACAACCAGGTTCTGCAAGTCATTTTACATTCCTACCAGATGCAAGATCTTTTGTTAATAAAATTACATACGGCATTTCTGCTCTGCTCCTGAATGTAGCTAGAGTAGCTAAGTCATAAAATAAAAAAATCTTTAGATACATTTTATTTAAAATAATTCTCCAGATTACTGAAAACATTTCTAAATTAACTGACACGCAGGACAGTAAGGAAAGTGACGATAAGCTAAGACTTCCATAAATGCCACTGCAATCTTCAGATCTCTAAACCATGTAGGCAGGTGGTGATTTTGCTTTTCACACCCAGAATAAATCCTTCTTTACTTGTTGTACATACCCATTTGTTCACTGAGGATTTAGTGGTGGACACCCAGATAGCTGGAGGAGGATCTGCTGATCTGTCCAGTTCCATCTAAACACAATTAAAGGAATAAATAATAAAGAAAAGACTACGCACATGCTGTTCCTGTTGTGAACTATGGGGGCTGGTGTTTTCTTCTCATACATTTTCATAATGTTGGACTGCAAGATTTGCAATGAGGGGAAACAAAATAAAACTAAATACAGTGTGTATGTATGACTGTGCTGCATTTAGTGCAATACTTTAAGTGAAGGTTAACACC